TGCTTAGACTTGATCATTTCAAGTGTCCTATCTTCAAGTCCACCGATGATTTCTACTGCCTGCTCATGTCTGCTTTTGAATCTCATCAGTAAATTTTTCATTTGAGTTACTATACATTTCAGTTCCAGAATTTCTTTTTGGTTCCTTTTTATGTATTCTACTTCCTAATGATGCTTCCATTTTGTTTATACATTGTTCTCCTGACTTTGTCCACATTTTGTTTTAGCTCTTTGAGTATCTTTAAGACAGCTGTTCTAATGTCTTTGTCTAGTAAGCCCACCATTTGGTCTTTCTCAGGGACAGTTTCTGTGGATTCCTTTTTTCCTTTGAATGAGCTATACTTTCCTGTTTCTTAGTATGCCTTGTGAATTTTTAGTGAAAATTGGACATTTGAATCTTATAATGTGGTATCTTTGGAGATTACATTTTGGCTGTTCCCCAGGTTTGCTGTTTTTTTTCTTTTTCAATGTTGAACTTCTCTTAAAATAAATATATTCCTTGTCTTCTTAATCAACTATCTTTGCAATGTACTGCAACGGCACCCTCAGCATTTTCACAAATATCCAGAAATTCTTTGACAATGGCATCAGTAGGGGTGCTGCCATCCGCAAAGAAAAGATCATAGTGATCGAAGCCAGCATTCGTAAAGCGTTTGGCATCATACATCCTTTTATTCAGACGGACAATGGTAGTCACATTGTGATTCTTAAAATATGGGATATAAGCCTCGGGAGAATGTTGGTGGTAACCACTTTCACGTCTTGTTCTTGAATGAGGTCCACAGAAGGCAAGAAATCGGTCTGGTATTATCCAATTTAAATCTCCATTTTCTGCTTTTTCATAATGTTCATATTCATCAAGGTTAAATGAGTTGAAATTAAGGAAGCCATAATGCATTGCCTTCTTTACTGCATAAAAACAGTCAAGAAGTGTAATGTAGAAACTGCAACTCCCATAGGCAGCATCTCTGAAAGGAATATAGGATGTATCTCCAAACATTAATATTCTATATGCTTCTTCCGGTGTTCTCCCCAAATATATAACCATATAACATCCAACAAGGAAAGCAGCATTTGCTTGTTTTCTCTCATCAGAGCCAGTAAAATGAATAATTTTTTTCCTTATCATTGTAATGGACTTTAATTTCTTATTTATCTTGCAACAATATCTGTAAACCATTGCCAGATTGAGTGGTCCAAAATCTGCGTAGAAGTTCTCATATTCAAGTTCATTATCTATGCTGAAATAATGTACATTTGATGAACTCTTTGGTCTGCTGTAGAGAATGGCAAAACAAAGGCGATCTCGGATCACCTCGGCCACCACTGGGGGCCCCCGCGCCCTCCCGGCTCATGACTCCGCGGCATCCGGAGGGCGGGCTGCGCCGCCCACACCCCACGGCTCGCGGCGGAGTTTAAAGGGCGAGCCCACGCGGGCGGCGCCGCCCCGGAGCTCAGGACGCCCCGACGGCCCCGCCCCGGCGGCGGCGGGGAGCGCAGCCCGGCCCGCCCGCCCGCGCCGCAGCCAGAGGCACGCGCGCCTCGGAACAGCCCGGCCGCCGCGCCGGAAGGCCAATCGTTTGTATTTTTGAGGTGTCTATTGTCTGTCACTATTTCTCCTTTTACGTCTCTTAAGAATTGCTTTATATATTTAGGTGCTCCCATGTTGGATGCATAGATATTTACCAGTGTTATATCCTCTTATTGGATTGTTCCCTTTATCATTACGTAGTGGCCTTCTTTGTCTCTTGTTATAGTTTTTGTTTTAATATCTATTAGTGTTCTATAAGTGTTGCTACCCCAGCTTTCTTTTCTTTGCTATTTGCATGGAGTATCTTTTTCCATCCCTTCACTTTCAGTTTATGTCTTTATGCCTGACATGTGTCTCTTGTAGGCAACATATATACGGGTCTTGTTTTTTTTATCGTACTGGCCTTTTGATTGGAGCATTTAGCCCACTGACGTTTAAGGTAGCTGTTGATAAGCATATACTTCTTGCCATTTTGTTACTTTTTTTCTGGGTGTTTTGATATTCTCCTCTGTTCCTTTCTTCTTCTCTTGCTCTCTTCTGTTGTGGTTTTATGGCTTTCTTTAGTATTATGCTTGGGTTCCTGTCTCTTAATTATTTGTGTGTTTATTATAGGTTTCTGGTTTGTGATTACCATGAGGTTCATATATAATAACCTATGTAGATAACAATCTATATTGAGTTAATAGTCTCTTTAGTTTGACCTCTTTCTAAAAGCTCTACTCTTTTACTTCCCTCCTCCCACATTTTATGTTTTATATCATATCTGACCTCTTATTTTGTGTGTATGTGTATCCATTACCTTCTTATCATGGAAATAGGTAATTTTAGTGATTTGTCTTTTGACCTTCATGTTATCTTCACAGGTGGTTGATCTGCTACCTTTACTATATTTTTGCCTTTACCAGTAATTTTATTGCCCTGTTTTTTTCAATAATTTTCTTATTCCTATTTGTGGTCTTCTCTTTCCCACTGAAATAAGTCCCTTTAGCATTTCTTGTAAAACTGGTTTCTTGGTGATAAACTCCTTCAATTTTTGCTTCTCTGGGAAACTCTTTATCTCTCCTTCCATTCTGAATGATAACCTTGCCGGGTAGAGTATTCTTAGCTATAGGTTTTTTCCTTTCAACACTTTAAATATATCATGTTCCTCCCTTCTAGCCTGTAACATTTCTGCTGAGAAGTCAGCTAATAGCCTTATGGGGTTTTCTTTGTATGTCACTTGTTGACTTTCTCTTGTGGTTTGTAGGATTCTCTCTGTATCTTTAATTCTTGACATTTTAATTATAGTGTGTCTTGGTGTGGGCCTCTCTGGGTTTATCTTGTTTGGTGCTCTCTGTGCTTCCTGTACCTAGATGTCTGTTTCCTTCCTTAGGTTGGGAAAGGTTTCAGCTATTATTTCTTCAGATAGACTGTCTGCCCCCTTGTCTCTCTCCTTTCCTGCTGGGACACCCATAATATGAATGTTAGTGTGCTTGATGTTGTCCCAGAGTTCCCTTAGACTGCTCTCATTGTTTTTAGTTCTTTTTTCTTTTATCCATTCAGCTCGGGTGATTTCCTCTAGTCTTTCGTCTAGCTCGCTGAGCCATTCTTCTGTATCATGTACTCTGCCATTGAGTCCCTCTAGTGAATTTTTCATTCTCAGTATCGTATTCTTCATTTCTGATTGGTTCTTTTATATATTTTCCAATTCTTTTTTGACATTCTCACTGAGTTCATCCCTTCTTCTCCCAAGATCAGTGAGCATCCTTATGACTTTTTGTTTGAACTCTTTGTCAGGTAGATTGTTTATTTCTCTTTCATTTAGTTCTTTTTCCTGTTTTTTTTTCCTGTTCCCTTGGTTGGAACATATTCCTTTGTCTCCTCATTTTGCCTCTTTCTCTGTGCACATATCTATGTATTAGGTAGGTCAGCTACGTCTCCTGATCTTAGAGAGGTGGCCTTATGTAACAAATGCCTTATAAGGCCCAGCAGCGTGCTTCCCTCTCATGACAAGTTCCAAATGTTCCAGGAGTGACCTCTGTGTGGGCTACATGTGTCCTTCTGTTGTGACAGGTTTGCGCTTGCTGCAGGTGCCCTGGGAGGCTAGGCTGTCCACCTGGCTGGCTGGTTGTAATGCTCAGCTGCATGTGGGTGCTACGGACCCTTCGGTCACTTTATTGGGTGTGGGGAGCCCCAGCACAGGTGGCTGCAAGGTCTAATAGTAAGTTCCTGTTGCAGTTTTTCTGATAAGTGAGTAGGACCCCAGCGAAGCTGGTTGCTAGGCTCAGGGGCTTACAATTGCTATAGGGCTCCCACCTGCAAGGCTGTTTTCAGCTCTCTCAGGATTGCAGCTGAGTGGGACTGGCCCCAGGCACAGGAGCACCCAATTCTTTCAGACTTTGGGAGGTGGGGCCGATCCCCTATGTGGCTATTTGAGAAGCATGAAGTCTTCTGCAGCTGACAAGCCCCACAGCTCACAGGCCCACACACACCGTCAACACAGTCCTACCCCATGCACACTTCCCAGCCCACTGATTCTGACCCAGTTGCCCCACTGCAGAGGCCCCCACAAACTCCACCAACACCCACACACTCCACCCACTCCTCACTCACGCCCTGCCCCACAGAGGCAGACCTACTCGCCTGCCTGCAGAGGATCCGGGCACCCAGTCTATGCAGGCTGACAAGTTGCCCGAGGGCTTCCTGTGGGGTGGGGCCAGTCGCTAGGGTGGGCTGCCTGTCCTGGCTGAGCTGGATTAAATCAATGCTCTAGTGCGCAGGGCAGACCCTGGGCTAACAGGTCAGAGAAAGAACTCCAATGGTGTCTGCCAGCATCTGTGTCACTACACCTCTACTAGGTCACAATATTGGCTGCTGCCAATGTCTCAAACCCTGGAGAGGTATCACCTCTCACTGAGATGCACCCAGAGCCTATCAGCTGAGTCTCTTTTCACCAAAGTGTGCACTTTTCTTTCTGCTGACTTTAGCTTGCATTCTGAAATGGGTCAATTTGTGCTTGGGCCCTTTAAGAGCTGGCTTTTTTCTGCTTATGTCCAATAGCTTTTCTAGGGGTATTCCCCGTTGCAGTTAATAGACAGCAAAGCCAGATATTATGAGACTTTCTCAGTTGTGCTGAGTCCAAAGGAGGCTTATAGCAGTAACACTCCCCACCTAGGTCCCCTGCTCCTCCAGGAGAGGCTGCGTACCTTAGGATTGCTCCTGGCCAGCCGTGAATCTCTCTGGCTTGCGAAGGTGGCTTTTTTCTCTCCAGAAAGGAATTTCTGCCTCTTCCACTTCAGTCAGGACTGCCCTTTGTTGCACGGGTTCTTTTTATCCAGTTTTCAGTTCTTTCTCAGGGGTAATTGTTCCAAGAATAGCTGTAACTTGGTTGTGTCCGTGGGAGGAGGTGACTTCAGAGTCCACCTATGCTGCCATCTTGACACCAACTCTCAAGAGCTGGCATCTTAAAGTTATGGATTCATCCCTAACAGGTCAGGTGACTACATCGTACAGACCTGACCCTGACATATATGTCCTACTCATCAAAGAATGCCAGTCCCTGGGGAAGGAGGGAGAGTTCTCCCCCTGCTTCACGGAGCTGCAGCGAGCCTTCCTGAGGCAGCGGCCAACCAAGCTCAAGAGCCTCATCCGCCTGGTCAAGCACTGGTACCAAAAGGTATGGCCCTCCATCCAGTCTAGGGGAGGGAGGGAGCAGAGGAGGAGGAGGGAGAGAAGGAAGAAAGTGAGGACAAGAGGAAGAGGTGGGGGATAGGGGCAGAGAAGGAGGAGTGGGCAGGGAAGAGGAAGGAGGGGGAGGCGGGGGAGGAGAAATGGCAACTTCATCCTTCTAGTTGCTCTGGCCAAAACCATGCATCTTCCTTGACTTTTTCACACACACCCCCATCAAACCAGTCACCAAATGATGTTGGTCCTATATTTGAAATAGATCCATAATTCATCAATTGTCAGCACCTCTGTCACTCTCCCCCTGCTCTGAGTCACCTTGTGCCACTCACAGGGTTCTGCCCTCCGACCTCTCTGAGCGGGCCACCCCCCCAGGCCACGCTGTCCTCCTTCTTGTTACTCCAAGAGGAAAACCCTGCTCCAGCCTCCAGCCCTTTGCATTTGCCTATTTGGTTTTTATTGTCTGTCTCCTAACTAAAAATGTACATGAAGGAAGGGATTTGTATGTTTTGTTCGTTGCTCTAGCCCCAGAACCTAGAAGAGTGCCTGGCACATAATAGGTGCTCCATAAGCAATTGCTGAATGGATTAACGAACACAAAACACGCACACACACTCACTCACAGAGTCTACCACACTCTTCACAAGGTGGAGAGAGAAAAACCAGGGCTTCAGACGTGTGTTCAGATCCTCCTCTATCTACTTCTTGGTTGTCTGACCGTGGGCAAGCAACTTAACCCCTTCATGCTTCCTGTTCTCTCACTTGCAAAATAAACCACATGACATGGCGCCCGGGAAAATGTTGGTCCCAATAAATGTGGTTTCTCTGAGCCACCACAAGAGCACACATCATAAAAGCTAACACGTATCGAGTGCTTAGCTCGTGCCACATTTGTATTTAATCTTTTCTGGGTGTGATATGCATTTCTGTTTACTTTTAAATGTCCTATATCTTATCTAATCTTCATGGTGATTCTGTGAGCTGGGTAAGGGTAGGTATTATTATTAAACCCATTTTACAGAAAGAGAAACTAAGAGATGGCTCTTTCAAAATTAAAAGCTTTAATTTTGGTCTTCTGACTCAAGAGTTTGCCTAATATATAACGAGCATTCTATATATTTTTGGATGAATGAGTGAGTGAAAGAGAGTAATTAAGGATAACCTTCCTGCTTTAAAAACAGTACTTTAGGCAAAGCAAGACAATCAGTATTTGCTAGACATCTCAGTTTGCTGTTCCAGGCATTTTGATGAGGGAGCCCAAGCATGTTAGTACTTACAAAAGTGGTTCTTGACTAGAGCAACACTGCCCCCAGGGACATATTGAACATTCATGAGGACAGTTGTGGTAACCATGGTGACGGGGGACAAGAATGCTACAAGAATGGACAAGATAATTAATGGAAAAAAACCAAGAAACTAGTTATTTTACAATGATCAAGACAGTCCTGCACAGCAAAGAATTGTCTCTTTCTCTCCTTCTTTCTCTTTCCCTCCCTCCCTCACTTCCTTCCTTCCTTGCATCCTTTCTTCTTTCTATCCTGTAAAATAATAGAAGAAACTTACAACACTTTAACTCCACTAACCACCATCATGACCACCTCCAACTGATATGCTGCTATGGTTATGTATTTCACGTCTCTCTCCATTTTTGAGTGCCTCAATGCATTATGATTGTTTTACAGAGCCAATATTCATTTAATCTACCCACACATTTATCTTTCTTCACTATCAATTCTTTCCTACATCTCTAGCCTCCCATCTAGGATCACTTTCCTTCTTCCTGAAGTGTGTCCTTTAAGATTTCCTTTGGTGACGGTCTTTTAATAGTAAACGCTCTCCGTTTTTGTTTCTCCGAAAATGTCTTGACTTTACCCTCATCGTTGATGGGTTTGTGGTCACTTCAGTAGATGGATATATCATTCCATCTTTCAGTGTCACTAGTGAGAAGTCAATTGTTAGTCTAACTGTGGCTCCTTTTTGGGTGATCTGTCTTATTCCTCTGGGGGCATTTATATTTTTCTCTTTGTCTTTGATTTTGTTTAGTTTCAATCTGATGTGTCTTCATGATGACTGTTTTTCATTTGTCCTGCTTGGGGTTCATTGGGTTCATCATTGGGATTCCTGAATCTGTGGAGAGATGTCTTTTATCAGTTTCAGAAATTCTCAGCCATTCCCCTAAAATATGGTCTCTGCCTCTTTCTCTCTCTGCCTCCTGGAACTCCAAGTAAATGTACGTTAGACCTCCTCACACTATCTTCCATATCTCTACACTCTCTTCTATGTTTTCCATCTTTTTGTCTCTCCATGTTTTATTCTGAATAGTTTCTTCTAATCTACCTTCCAATTCATTAATTTTAGCTGTCTAATCTGCTGTTGAATTATTAATTGCAGTTAGTTGTAATTTTTTGTTCTAGGATTTCTATTTTGTTCTTTTCCAAATCTGCCACATTACTTCTTATGGTTTCTGAGTCCCTACTATTTCAAGCTCTTCATTTATTTCTTTGAATGTAATATTCCTAGTTATTTTAAAGTCTGTATTTGATCCTTCAATATTTAAAGTTTTGTGGGTTTATTACTATTTTCTCTCTTTTCTGTTAGTTATCGCTCTTGCTATTTTGTTTCCTTGTGTACCTGGTTATTTACGTGCTGGTCATTGTACTTGAAAATAGTTTGAGGCTTTAGATTATAAATCTTCCTTTGGAAAAAAATTTGTTGGCTTCTGTAGGCTCTTAGGAACTCTACAAGTCCTTTGTCTTAGTTAATTCTCCGAGTATCCTTCTGAGGTAGGTGCTACTATTACCATTCACTTGGCAGATGAGAAAAAAGAGGCTCTAAGAGTCTAAGTTGTCTGCTCAGAATCAGACAATGGTGGAGCCAGGATTCAAACCCACATCAGTCAGAATCTAGAGCCGAAGCCCTTACCCAGGGGTCAGTAAACTTTTTCCATAAAGGGCTAGGAAGTAAATATTTTAGACTTTGTGGGCCACATGGTCTCTGTCACAACTACTCAACTCTGTCTTTGTAGCGTGAAAACCACCACAGATGATGCATAAATGAATGGCGTGACTTTGCTCCAAGAAAACTTTATTTACTAAAACAGGTGGCAGGCTGTGAATTTGGCCCACGGGAAGTGTGCTTTACACGAAAGCTGGACAAGCCCATTTTCCCAATTGTTTTTCCTCTTCTCAGTGCAAGGATAAACTTGGGAAACCACTGCCAGCACAGTACGCCCTGGAGCTCCTGACAGTCTATGCTTGGGAACAGGGAAGCAGACAAACAGAATTCAACACAGCTCAGGGATTTCGGACTGTCTTGGAACTAGTCCTGAACTACCAGCAGCTTTGCATCTACTGGACAAAGTATTACAACTTTGATGACCCTGTTATTGGACAATACCTGAAAAGGCAGCTCAAGAAACCCAGGTACTCTGTCCCCACATGGCTCAGCTCTCCACATCAATGAACGCCCGGAGCCAGACACAGCCCCTTGGAAATGGAGGATGTGGGAGGGCTCCACATTTACTGGTCATCTTCTGTTGCCAGTCATTGAGCTGGACACTTTAGTGCTACCATTTGATTTTAACAACAACCTCCAGCCCCGTGAGGCAGGCACCATGCCAACCACTGTATAGATGAGTAAACTGAGGTTCTGAGAGGTAAGGCGCTTGTCCAAACCTTAAGAGAAAGTGAGTGAAACAGCTGACACAGACGTGCTGAGCATTCCACACGCCTTGTCTCAATCCTCATGCCACATCCTTTGAGGTCGGTGTGTTCAGCTCTCCCCGTTTCACAGATGAGGAAACTGAGGCTAGTGCGGTCAAGCGACCTGCCCAAGGGCACACCACTAATAAAGGGCCCAGGTGAGATTCAACCCCAGGTCTGTCAGGCCCCAGTGTGAGGCTCCTTCTCCTCATGCTTACTGCCCACCGTGGGGTGGGGCACTCAGGACACACCCCAGGCAACAGTGCCCCACTGGGCTGGTCCTCCTGCCCCGGGTCCCAGCCTGCCCCAGGCTGGCGTTTGCTCTGCAGGAGCGTCTACACTCCTTCACTTGTCCCTCTCTAAACATTGCTTTTCAGGCCTGTGATTCTGGACCCGGCTGACCCCACAGGAAACGTTGGTGGTGGAGACCCACGCGGCTGGCCTCGGCTGGCACAGGAGGCGAGAGCCTGGCTGAGTTACCCGTGCTTTAAGAATTGGGACGGGTCTCCAGTGGGCTCCTGGGACGTGGGGGTGAGACCTTCTGCTTCCTCCTTGCCAACCTTGCCCCGCCTCCCTGCCGCTTGGGGCCTGCTTCTTGCTAGAGGTTGCTCACATTCATTGCTAGAGGTTGCTCACATTCATTGAGTTTCAGGCTGTGCTTCATACTTTACAGTCATTTTGACCCCGTTTGGAGGGTTCCTGGAATTTTCACATCCCTTGTCCAGAGTTCGTTCTTTAATTAACGTTGCCTTGCCTGGGGGTAACTCTGTAACAGCTGCTGCTGGCGCACCCCACTAATAATAATGATAAACACCCACCGCTCACTGAATATCCGCTTTGGGCTAGGGTCCTGTCCTCAGACCTTTAACACACGTTGTTTCATTAAATCCTCATAACACCCCGGGAGGTATGTTTTCTACTCCCGTTTGCAGATGAGAAAAGGAAGCTCAGAGAGGTGAAGTCACCTGCTTGAGGACACTCAGTTAGGGACTGGTAGAGCTGGGATTCCAACTCGGTGGACTCCAACGCCAGTGCCCAACCCACTATGCTAAACAGCCTGCCTTGCATCCCCCCCTACTTAACGTGACAAATGGGAGACTCAGAGCAGCTGACTGACATGGGTGTGTCACACAGCTAAGTGGGGCACAAGGACTCGAACTTGGATCTTTCCACTCCCAGGGTAGGGGTCTTCCTCATGCGGGGGTGGGGGGTGATGACGTCCTAGGTGGGTTCCCTGGGAGTTTAGAGCGCACGATGTTAGCGGTGATCCACTGGAATCAAGGCCCGCGGAAGGGAGGGGAAGGAAGCAGGAGCGGGCGGGCACAGGGAGAAGTCCACCTGGGTTGCAGCCCGGGGGCAGTCTCAGCCCTGGAGCTCAAACGGCCCTCGGAGCTGACCTTTAGCAGACCGAGGCGGCCAGGCCTTTATACCCGCCGTGGATGGGTCACCGGGCGGGGCGCTCAGGCGGGGCGTGGTCTTCAGCGCGGGGCGCCCTGCCACTGAGGCAGCCCCAAGGGGCGGCCGCTGAAGTCCGTCCGCTCACGGCCTCCCCGGCAGCCGGGGCTTGCAGGTCCTTCCTTGAGGGGGCTGCAGGTGGCACGTCACAGTGTCCCCCATAAATGCTCGCTGAGACCCAGGGCAGCTCTCCAACGTGATCGTGTGCTTGCTTCAGCCTGAAGAAGACAGCGAGGACGACACTTTGACCTGGGCTGAGCGCGCATATTACCAGTGCGACCACGGATGGCGCCCTGAATTCCCGCAGACCGGCAGCACGCCCCAGAGGGCATCCGCTCCCGACGCGGAAGAGAACTGGACCTGCACCATCCTCTGAGCGCCGGCGCAGCGTGGAGGAGAGGACTCCAGAGTCGGGGGGGCCAGCCCCCTCATTTCCTGGGCGGGATCTTATCGGCTGTGACTTGGCATCAGTCCTAGGACCAGAATCCGGGTCTCCTGACCCCTCTTCCTGCTGTTCCCCTCTTTCTCGCCCTCCCTAGGTAGCGCTGCCCGCAGCCTCATCCCGCCACAGCCTGTTTTCTGACAATATTCTCTGAGAGGCAACAGTTGAGGTTTAGACAAAAGAGTGGAAACTCAGCCTTGACTTTCTTCTGTGTGCCTGGTGAGAAGGTTATGGTCCAATTTATTATCAATAACAATAAAAATAATAGCAGATACCATTTGTTGGGTGTTTATTAACTTCAGGGCACAGTGCCAAGAAGTATGTGTGTGTGTGTGTGTGTGTGTGTGTGTTTGTGTGTGTATTCATTGATTCAACTAAAAATATTTATTGAGGGGCCAGCCGGGTGGCATAGTGGTTAAGTTCACACTTTCACTTTGGTGGCCCAGGGTCCCCAGGTTCGGATCCTGGGTGCGGACCTACACACTGCTCATCAAGCCATGCTGTGGCAGGCGTCCCACATATAAAGTAGAGGAAGATGGGCACAGATGTTAGCTCAGGGCCAGTCTTCCTCAAAAAAAAAATAAATAATAAAAATTTATTGAACACATACTATGTGCCAAGCCTTGTTCTGGGCACTAGGAACACGACAAAGAACCAAACAGACAAAAATCCTCAAAACCTCTGCCTGCGGAGCTGGCGTTCGTGGGGAACGTTTTAATATTGGATAGCTTAGGATTCTTCCAATTTTCAATTACAAATAATTCTGAGGCAAGCATCTTTGGTTCATCTTCTGTCTACATCTCTGACCATTTATCCAGGGAAAATTTTAGAACTGCCCTGTCTCACCCAGTGGTCACCAGTCGCGTGGGGCTGTTGAGCACTTGAAATGTCGCTGGTCCAAACTGAGATGTGCCGTAATTGTAAGATATACACTGGGTTTCTAAGACTTTGTACAATAAAGAAAAAAGGAACATCACATTCTTGACAACTGATCATTTTTTATATTGATCATATGTTAAACTGACAATTTTTTGAGATATCGATTGAATCAAAATGAATTTCACTTATTTCTTTTTACTTTTTTAACGTGGCTGCTAGAAACTGTGAAACCACACCTGTGGCTTGCATTGTGTTTCTATTGTTGGCTCTGCCCCAGAGGGTGGATCATGGGGTTAAAGAACAGGCTTTACTGACTGTCACACTGTCCTTGGTACCAAGAAACGGCATTTCATTTACAAGACTCCAAAATATCAAAACTACTGTAATTACTCACAAAAGGACAGAGCATGCTCTTATCACCTGAGCCACTGGTCACCTGAGTGGCTGGCAGACAGTCTTTGGTTTGTCCCTGTTGTATCTCTCCTTTGAACCCCCCAGCATCGCTGCTAGATGGTTTTATTAATAGTCTCATAATAATGAATTGAGGTTAGGGCACTGGCTCGGGGTCACCTGGCTAGCGAGAAGCAGAGTCGGAACTGGACCCTTGTCCTCTCGCGTTCATGTCACAGCCACTCTTGCACAATAATCCTGCATTGGCGTCTGCTTCTTGGAGTTGCCCAGACCAGCACGACACCTCTGCCCCACCTTCAGGTCGGTGCGTGCTGGTCAGCGATTCCTGGCTGCGATGCAGAACTGAAGCACGGCGCGCAAGCGCCCAGCTCATTACCTCTTCTCGGTTGCTGTCCCTGCCTGCAGCTGGGCTCCTGGAAGAAGCCGCCATTTCACTGCCTCTCCACCCCCTCTCAAACCTCATTCCTGCCTCTCGGCCAGTGATTCTCTATCAGTCTTGCCTTCTTATGTTCTCTATTTTCTGATGCTTTGACACCTGGGGCCTTGCTGATCCTGGAGAGACTGCCCCTCCCAGGGCTGGCTGATTCCTGCAGATAGCAAACAGCTCACCTGAGAGTTCGCTTTTCATGGCAAACCAACCAATCCAGAGCCGGGCTCCGAACCACCTCCTTTATCACTTTCTCAGGATTCTTAAACTCAAGCCGCAATCCACCTCCCCTGCTCACCCCAGGACCAGGCACCAGCCAGCTCAGGACAGCCCCTACGCTCAGAGCCCACTGAGACTGTTCAAACCAGCCCATCCTAAGCCCGCTGACCCTGCGCCGCCTTTCCCACAGAAACGACATAAAAGCTCCAGCCCATGTTTTCGAGCTGGCTCCCTCCGCCCCACAAAGGACACAGGTGCTTCCCCGTGTGGCCCTGCGTGGCCGGGCTGTGCCCTCTGTTTCTAGGGATCTGTGAGGATAAACCTCCTCCTTCATGACAATATTTGGTTATTGCCTTTAACATCAGCAAAATAAAGAAATCATTAAAAAAAAAAAAAAAACCGCTCCCACAGTCCCTTCCTCCAACCCATTCCAATTTGGGGCCTGTCTCTGCCCCTTTTCTCTGACTCCGCCTGTCTCCCTGTGCATGTAGAGTTTTTCTAAAAATGGGATCCTACGCCCTCTCCGGTTCTGTTACCTGCTCTGTCACATTTACATACTTCTCCCTCCATGCTGATAAAAAAATTCCGGCTCACGGGTAATGCTGCGTTGCATTCCACCATGAGGATAATCCACCTGCATTGTCTTCTGAGAGTGTTTCATGGTCATCAACAATGTTACAGTCGTCAGTAGATTAATTGAATCGGTAATTAGTTGCTTAATTGAAAAGCCACATAGACCATATGGTAGTACTTTTGAGTTTTTGGAGGAACTCCCAGACTGCTCTGCAGTGGCTGCACCATTTACATTCCCACCAACGGTGCACGGCCCCTCCAACTCCTCCACGTCCTCGCCAACACCTGCATCTTTCGTCTGTTTGATAATAGCCGTTCTAACAGGTGTGAGGTGATAGCTCATGGCTCTGATTTGGATTTCCCTGATGATTAGTGATGTTGAGCATCTTTTCATACACCTGTTGGCCATTTGTATGTCTTCTCTGGAAAAATGTCTATTCAAGTCCTTAGCCCATTTTCTAATCGACTTAGTTTTTTTTTTTTTTTTTTTTGCTATAGAGTTGTAGGAGCTCCTTGGGGAATTAACTGCTTATCAGATTTATGGTTTGCAAATATTTTCTCTCTTTCTGTCGATTGCCTTTTCACTCAATTGAGTGATAGTTTCATTTGCTGTGCAGAAACTTTGTAGCTTGATGGAGCCCCACTTGTCTATTTTTGCTTTCGTTGCCCCTGCTTTGCATATACAGTCAACTGATCTTCGGCTAGGGCACCAAGAATACACAATGCGGAGGGGATATCTCTCAACAAACGTGTTGGGAAAATTGGATATCCACATGAAAAAGAATGAAATTGGACCCTTATCTTACACTACACACAGAAATTGACTCAAAATGGACTAAGGACTTAAACATAAGACCTGAAACTGTAAACCTCCTAGAAGAAAACGTAGGGGAGAAGCTTCACGACATTGGATTTGACAAAGACTTCATGGATACGACCCCAAAACATAGGCAATGAAGGGCATTTGTTTCTCTATGGTGTGAGGTAGGGGTCCAGCTCCCATTCCTCTGTGTGGAGCCCCAGCTATTACAGCAGCATTTGTTGAAGTGACCGTCCTTTCCCACTGCTCTGCAAGGCCACCTCTGACGTGTGCCCAGAGCCCATCTATGTGTGAGTCTGTTTCTGGGCTCTGTTCTGTTCCCTTGGTCTATTTTCATATCCTTGCCTTAATACTACCTTGTCTTAATTACTATAGGCTTAGAATAATTCTTAATATCTTGTAGGAACTCTGTCCTCTTTTTATCAAAATCCATGGCTTCTCTTGGCCCTATTTCTGTATTAATCTTATACTCAATTTGTGAACTTCCACCCAGAATATGGGGAGGTATTTGATTGGAATGACAGAAATTAGTTTAGGGAGAGTGGCATCTGTACAGTATTGAGAATGCATCAATCTGGAATTTCTCTCCATTAGTTTTAGTCTTCTTTAATGACTCTGGAACAAAGTTTCACAATTTTTCCCTGCATAAGTCTCTCGTATCTTTTGTCATATTATTCCTAGGTATTTGTTTCTATGTCATTGTACTTGGCATGTTTTCTTAAATTTCATTCGGTAAAGACAGGTTCCTGGAAAACCTAAGTGTTGTCAGTGGGTATATCTGATTACAACAGTACGAATGTCCTTTATACTTTTCCGAATTTTCTGATTTTATTAATTTTTTTGCAGTAAACTCATATTATTTATAGGACCACAAGAAATAACAAAGCAATTTTTCTGGCCCCCCCAAATTTTTTTTGATAAGTATTTCTCTCAACTAAGCTCTGATCATTTGTGCTAAGCCAGAAGATCCAGGTTATGGAAAGCTCTGGGGGGCCGGTATTTGGAGCTGCTGGTTCAAGGACAAATTCACGAGGTTTGGAAACAGAAGCAAGTGTGTAAGGGATGATAGAAATTACTGTGTGAAAGCTGAAGCACCCAAGTCATAAGTTTTGGAGTTGCTCGTGATGATGCACCATTCTGGGCAACTTCCTGCCGAGGAAACGAAACTTAGACGAGCTCCTGTTTAGTCAGCAGAGATGGGGGTGGAGCTTCTGGAAGACGTCAGAACACAGCTGCCCGGCTGTCAAAGTATATGCAACATGTGTGATGTTCAGTTTGGGTTCAGGGAAGAGAGGGGAACTCCAGGGTGCTCAGCTCCATGCTGAGGGCCCCCAGCCCCACGAGGGGGTGAATTTTAATGTACTGCCATCTTGGAAGCCCTGGGCGAGTGTTGCCAGCTATCCCCTCCTCTTCCTCACTCAAACCCACTCCTTGAGCACCCCTCACCTTTGTGAGATGCCGGGGCCCCTCCCCAGAGCTCCTGAGAGCCCTTCCCACCCGGTAGAGGTATCCTCTTCTTCCTGTGTTTTGGGATGTAATTTCCTCCTTCATCCAATCCCATATCTCTTTCAGGGGGATTATAAATCTCCAGTTCAACAAAGTCACCTGCACTTAGGATCCAGCAGCATTAACTAATTTTCTCATCACTTTCCCGGTATTTCCAGAGGTCTAGGGTGGGAGTTGAAGCCTTGAGCATCTGATCAGTCCGCCATCTTGACCCAAGCTTGACCCTTCTGCTTTCTACCTTCTAAAAATTCTTCAAATGTCTGCTCCCCTGATGCTTCTCTTCCTCAATTTCCGACCTGTTGAGTTGCCTGATACTTTAACCTATCTTTGCTGTCATTTTAGTAGGATCTTGAGGGTATGTTCAGTCTGCCAACTCAAATGGAAAATTTCTAAAGTGACATGTGAATCAGGAAGATGACTGGGATTAGTGGGCGAGCAAGGAAATCACGGCTTTACGGCTGAAGGCACCTGACTGGAATCCCCTCCACAACATCTAACCTCCAAAATCGTCTTCTTCTTATACTTGAATACCCCCAGTGATGTGGCACTCACTACTCAAAATATAAACTGGGTGTACACACTGGCAGTCCACCAGCTCTCCTGTAGCTCACCACGACCTCTGAACTTCACCCTCTAACCTCATCTATTTACTTTCGGTTAAGGCAGACTTCAGGAAGTTCTTGTTAAGATGAAGTGTCGCCTGAGATATACTCAGAGACAGAGTACATGCTGGATCCCTGAGCTGATGGAGCAAAAGACTAATGAGTTTTTGAGTAAGATATGGAGGAGCGGGTGGACTCTGACACGGGCCAGGCCTGGGAGAGAGCTCAGATGTGCAGATTCTGATCGCCTGGGTGGAGGACAATAGGGAAGCAGCCGAATAGGGAGAGGCCAGACCATGAGGATAGAAACAGCAAGGGACTGCCGTGTAGATTGCAGGCTCTGCTCTGCAGCTTATCTGCCTAGCTTTGTGCCAGTCGCAAAAGGATTTCACTCTCGTGGCTTTATAACCACACGCTGGTGGTTAAAAACCACATGTGGAACACGCTGTGAGAGGTGCCATTCTAAACTCATTTTCCTTTCTCATTTCTCCTCTTTAAAAAAATTCTTAATTCTTATAGACAGACTTTTCTTATTTGCTTGAAGTTTTACAAATGGAATTTTTATGGGAATTGCATTAAATGTATGAATTATTTAGGAAGAATTGGCTCCTGTAAGAATCGAGTGCAGTTTTATTTCTGGGCTCTCGATTCTGTTCCATTGATCCGTGTGTCCGTTTTTCTGCCAGTACCATGCCGTTTTGGTTACGATAGTTTTGCAGTATATTTTGAACTCAGGGAGTGTGATACCTCCAGCTTTGTTCCCTTTTCTCAGGATTGCTTTGGCTATTTGGGGTCTTCTGTTTCACATCAATTTTAGGATCGTTTGTTCTGTTTCCAGGAAGGATGTCATTTGGATTCTGATCGGGATTGCACTGAATCTGTACCTTGCTTTAGGCGGTGCTTATCAGAGAGGAGGGGGGTGGGGAGAAGGCGAAAGGGGTAAAGGGGCACATATGTATGGTGAGGGATAAAACCTAGACTATTGATGGTGAACACGACGCAGTCTACACAGAAGCTGAAATACAGTAATGTACACCTGAAATGTACACAATGTTATAAGCCACTATGACCTCAATAAAATGATTTAAAGAAACAAGCCAAAAGAATAGAGTGCAGTGGTGAGAGCGCGCCCTGGGTTCGCAGCTGGTCTGACAACTTTCCAGCTGTGTGACCTTGGACAAGATGCCTAGTTTCTCTGTACCTTAGCTTCCTCATCTATCAAACGGGTCTGACAATAACAGCATCCATTGTGTTTGTGGGTGGGCTTAAATGAGGTGTGTGTAAAGCAGCACGACAAGCGTTCTGCAAGTGTTCCTTTGACTGTTGGCGTTTAGAAGGCATCCCTCAGCCGGAGAGCAAGGCAGGGGCTCCTTCTTTATGGAAGACACCTCCAGGCTGCTCAGTTCCAGCTCTGACCATTTTTTTCGCGTAAATCCTGCACATTTCTTAAACGCTCAGGATGCATCACTCGGTGCCAAGGCTTGTGTCCTGGGGACCTGCCGCTGCGGAGGCGTTCTGTTCAGTGACGTTTAGTTCATCCTTGCTGGGAGCTGCCGGGAAGGTCGGGGAGGCCAAGGAGAGGGAGCCACGACTGGGAAGGGAACCGGGAAGTGGGCGCGCGGGCCGAGAGCTGCAGGAAGTAAACGAAACTGAAACAGAACGCGGGAAAAGGAGGCGGACCTCCGGGAGGCTGGGCGGGAAATGGGGAAGCCGCGGGAGGCTGGGTCAGAAGGATCCCTCCCTCCCCCGGCTCCGGGCGCAGGGTCCAGCACCGGGACCGCGCGGACGCCGGGACGCGAACCCAGAGGCGCGCGAGGGAATCGGCCCCCGCGCAGCCCTGCCTCCTGGCGCCGCGCGGACCATGGACGTGTACCGCACCCCCGCCGCGGAGCTGGACGGCCTGGTGGCCCGCAGCCTGCAGCCCCCCGCGGAGTTCGTGGGGGCCGCGCGGCGCGCCCTGGGCAACCTGAGCGCCGCCCTGCGAGAGCGCGGGGGCCGCCCCGGTGCGGCTGCCCAGCCTTGGCGGGTGCTGAAAATCGTCAAGGTGAGCGGCCCCGGGTGGGTCGATCTCAGGGGCTTCATTTGTAAATAGGGGCGATCGAGGACGCTGGGCGCCTTGAGATGGGGGGTGCGGCCTGGGAGGAGGTTATCAGCTCTTTTGATTGATTTCTTTAACACGAATAACGTCCTTCCTATGCGCCAGCACCAACATACTGCCCACAACAGCGCGGCTGAGCAGATACTACTAACTCCCACTTGACAGGTGGGGAAACTGAGGCACAGAGAGACAAAGTAACGTGTCAGCCTGTAAGAGGTCCAGCCAGGATTGGAAGCTGGGCAGTCTGATTCTTGCATCTGTGCTCTTTACGGGCCTCACACTATGCCTGGCCCAAAGGATGCAGAAATAATGACACTCTATAATTACAGCCCAATGTACCAGGAAATTACCAAATAACAGGGAACACTGTCTCATTAAATGACACTTATCTCACTTCACCTTCAGCGAGGTGGGGATCCTTGTCCCGGTTTTATGGATATGGAAACTGACACAGGGCGTGGTTAAGCCACAGGCTCAGGCCACTTTTTGTCACATAAATGCCACCCTGCCCCTGTGACCTCAGGATGCCCACAGACCCAGCGGTTTCCTAGGGCTGAATCTTAGCTAGAGGGGTGGAAAGGAGGAGAGCCTTGCGGCCTGGGAGATGTGGAGGCAGATTTCTGCCCTCGAGATGGACGGGAGTGGATGGGAGTGGATGGGAGGAAGTTCTGCTCAGCAAGAGTCTAAGGCTCCCTAGCGCCCACCATCCTTAGCTTCCAGGGAGACCTGGAACTGCCCTTGTGGTTGAATTTCGCTCTGGCCTTCTGATCCTTCGAGGCTTTGAAGGAGGCAGTGGGCAGTGGCTTCTTTTCCGGCCTTGAGCTGCTGTTCCCTGCGGAAGGGGTTCCTTGGAGGCAAGGCTGATTCGGGCTGGCGGGAGGTGGACAGGATGAGCCTGGGGCTTCTGGTTGGACCAGAAAGCAAAGAAGGGGTCGCACACCTCTGGAGTCACACCAGAAGGACCCCCCCCCCCCAACGAGGGCCAACATGAGGTGACTCCCCTGCCCCAGCTGTGACCACCGGAAGTGTCTCCAGACATTGCCACGTGTCCCCTGGGGGCACAGTCGCCCACCATTGGGAATCACCATTTTAGAGATGCTCTTGACAGTGTATGTGGGCGGAATGACACAGTGGCTGGAATTCCTTATAAAAATCACATAAAGAGGGAGAAAAGGGGTCAAACAAATGGAGCGATGTGGCGAGACCTTTAAAATCCTCTCTTCCTTTGAGTAGGTTTGAAAATTTTCATAATGAAAAGTATTTTTAAGTGAATTAATTTATGGAGGAAAAAAAGAATGTGGGTTTGGAGTGTGCTTCCCTGAGTGCAGAGCACGGCCTCGCCTCTCCCAGCTGGGGATCTGAACAGCGGCTGCCTCCTTGCACTTTCATTTCCTGGTTGTAAAGTGAGAAGCTAGTCCTGGTTCTTGCCTCCGCCTGGCTGTGTTACTCACTTCACCTCTCTGAGCTTCACCCATACTGGTGACCACATCACGTTGTTGCCTCTTGGAAACGAGATTACAGGTGTCAGACATTTGGCAGAGCCCTAGGCATGGAGCAGAGACTCTGAGAATGTGACTTTCCTTCCCAAATCCTCAGGCTGGCAGCTTTGCAGAGAGAAACACTGGTCAGACAGGTCTCAGAGACTCAGTGAATCATGTCGCAGTTTTGTATTAATCCCAGGCAAAGGTTGTGAATGTATGTTCTGCGAAGCAGAATTTGTTTCACCTACAGTTTTAATTTTTTTTAAAGTTAGCTGCCAACATTTAGAAATCATGGATTTACATATAAAAATTACTTTTCTTGAAAACTCAGACCTGGCTGCCCTGGGCCTGCCTTCCTGCATAGCTTCAAATGCTGGAAGCTGTGTGGCCACAGTCTCCACCCAGCCCACTTGCCTCACTCAAATTGCCTGCCAGCCTGTGCAGGCACTAGAGTTGGAGAAGGCAGAATTCTGAGTTCTTTCTTTCTTTCTAGGGAGGCTCCTCTGGCCGGGGCACGGCTCTGAGGGGTGGCTGTGATTCTGAACTTGTCATCTTCCTCGACTGCTTCAAGAGTTATGAGGACCAGGGGGCTCACCGTGCGGAGATCCTCAACGAGATGCGGGCACTGCTGGAATCCTCATGGCAGGACACAGTCCTGGGGCTGAGCCTTGAGTTTCCTGAGCAAAACACGCCCGGGGTCCTACAGCTCCGACTGGCATCCACAGACCTTGAAAACTGGATGGATGTTAGCTTGGTGCCTGCCTTTGATGCCCTAGGTGAGGGGTCCGGCCCGTTCCAGCGTTGGGGGCAAGATGATTAGGGATAAGACAGGGCTTCCTGTTCCAGGCCTGCCACCAACTTGCTGTGTGACTATCTTGTATTTTATCTTAAAAGCATCATTGTGATTTTCGCCTTCTCCTTCATAGTGTACCCAGGCTTGAGTGAATATAATAATACGCCCTGTGTCCACATCTGTCAAATGAGGATAATAATAATAATGGGAAATAGTAAGCTGTCTTATGGAGTCGTGGGAACGGCAGTGTGCGTTATACGTGTAATGAACTTGGAACAGAGCCTGGCACCTGACACGGCTATATGTGTGTCTGCTATTCTTATTTCTATTATTCTTGTTACTAGTTTTTCTATTATTATTAGCTGCCGTGATGCTCTGGGAGATTGCTATCTTGAGTTTATCCAGGGTTATGATGTCCTGGCTGACAGCCCCGCTCTTCCACACCTAAGACACCCACCCTCTGGGCACCCATATATTAACCGTAATAACTGCTATTTACTAAATGCTTAACTATCCCAAGCACTCGACATGTTTTATCTCATTAACTCCTCAGAACAAACCTATGAGGTTGGTACTGTTTTATCTTCCATTTTATCGTCTTTCTTAAGCACAGAGACGTACAGTAACTTGCCCAAAGTCACACAGCAAGTGATGTCAGGAACCTAGAAAATTATGCAGAGTGTTTACTTTTCCCGAGCCAAGCTCAGGGGAAGTGGTGGAGGAAAAGGCACCTCCTGAAAATTCCAATCCTGTCTCCGTCACTGGCCAGCTGTTCAGCTTGGGCAGAACACTGCATTTCTCTGTGCCTCTTTCCTCGGCTGTAAAATGAGGTGAAGGACTGTGCTTCCCTCGGAGGGTTCTGGTCGGGGTACAGTGAGGGGGTTCATGTCCAACTCTCAGCACAGTGCGTGGCATGTAGTAAAAAATATTGGCAATGGCTGCTGAGGAATCAGACCTCTTGCCTTATGTTCCTCTGGCATCGTCTCCTCTCCCCGTGGCACCAATTAATTAACGGGATGTACAGCGGTGTTGCAGTACCGCCCGACGGGGCCTCAGGGAGGTGAGAGCTGCCAGCTCGCCGCCTCCTGACTCAGCTGGAAGTGTCACTCCTGTTTAACCATCTTGGAACGAGGAGGCTGCTCTTCAGCTGAACCCCCAGGGGCTACCTGGCCATTTGGGAGGAAGGGATCCATTAGAGCTTTCCTCTCTGCCTCCTGAGAAGCTCCAGACTCTGTTCCTCATCCTCCAGCCCCCATGCTGGTGGGTCCCCCCAAATTCTCCCCACTCTCTTCAGCACCCCAAGCTGAGCTCCGCCCCAACACCACCCTCCAGCCTGCCCTCAGCACCCTTCCTGACTCACAGAACTTCACACCTGCAGGGCAGCTCCGCACGGGCGCCAAACCCGAGCCCAGGGTCTACTCGAGCCTCCTGGACAGCGGCAGCCGGGGGGGCGAGCACGCCGCCTGCTTCGCGGAGCTGCGGAGGAACTTCGTGAACGCGCGCCCGACCAAGCTGAAGAACCTGATCCTGCTGGTGAAGCACTGGTACCGCCAGGTGAGGCCACTCGTGAGGGTCCTTGCTGCAGGCATATGACTGTTTGAATTTGTGCTTCCACAATAGAATATTTTCTTACATTTAGTGGCTATTCATGTTTTTCTTTCTCGGAAGTGCCTGTTCATATCATTTGTCCATTATTTCCTACTGGGTTAGCTGTCTTCTTCTTGTTGATTTGTTGGCACTCTTTATATATTCAAGGTGCTAATTCTTATTGAGTCAATATAATGCAAATCTATTATCCCAGTCTGTGCCCTGAACTTTCACTTTGTGTATAGGTCTTTTGTCACAGGAGACCTCCCAGGCCAGCCTCAGGAATGCCCCCTTGCACTGTTCATGCTTGTTGATAGAACCTTGGGTATTGGGGAAGGGGTGCTCATCCTGTGCCTGGAGATGAGAGAACAGGCTCCCCAAAATCTTAGGGAACGTGGCTGGGCCCTTCTGTTGGACCACCCGTCATAAAGCAGCTCTGGTGTAAGGAGATCCTGGATTCCAGTTCTTGCTCAGCGACTGACTTGCTGTGCAACCCTGAGCAAGGTCACCGGGCAAGGCCTGTCTGCTCCCCGCTCCTGGGGCCTTGAATCTCCTACCTCTCCCTCCCTCCCCCTGAATATGAGCCAAGCACTTTGCTGAAGCCCCAGCAGTGAAGGCAGAGGAGAGGCACAAGATTGCTCTCGGCACAGCCGTGGAACACAGCATCCCGTCCCAGCCTCAGCCTGCAGGCAGAGACGGAGAGACCCAGGAAAGTTGTGCAGAGAACGAGCTCTCCCCTCCGCTCTGTCCTCTGAGCCCTGCCCCGCCGTCTGCAGGTGTGCCCACAGGAGGCCAGCAGGGAGCTGCTGCCCCCTGCCTACGCTCTGGAGCTGCTGACCATCTTTGCCTGGGAGCGGGGCTGCGGCAAGGACGCCTTCAGCCTGGCCCAGGGCCTCCGGACCGTCCTGGGGCTGGTCCAGGACTATCGGCACCTGTGTGTTTTCTGGACACTCAACTACAGCTTCGAGGACCCCGCGCTCAGGCAGTTCTTGCGGCGCCAGCTTGAGAGACCCAGGTACCCCCTAATGCCCCACCGCCCGCCCTCCCGCGCCCCGGCCACAGGGAGGTGCTTAAGACTGATAGAGCGGCCTGCGTGGGGGCCAAGGCCGGCGCGGCACGCGCACTTTCTAGTTCAGGGGGTTCAGCCCCAGATACAAATTAGAATCACTCGGGGGAGTTTTAAAACATCTGCCACAAGTTTTGTGCATGGATGTTCTAGTGACATATAACGTCCGCATCCAGAGTGCACATTTCAATGACTTTGTATAAAGTGAACATACCTGTGAAACCCCCACCAGATCAGGATAGAATGTTCCAGCACTCCAGGAGCGTCCCCTGCACCCCTTCTACAGGGAACCCCATTCTGACCGTTGTCGTTACAGTTCTGTTGTGACGTCATTTAAATGGCATCGCCTGGCACTTCCCTTTCTCAATGTGAAGTCTTTAGGACCCATCCCTGTGGTTTCGTGCAGTCACGGGTCATTCTTTTCCGTTGCTGAATAGTATTGTTTTGTGTGAATTTGTCACAATATATTGTCCATTCTACTCAGGGTGGACATTTGGGTTGTTTCCATTCTGGGGCTGTTACAAGTGGGCTGTGACACACAGTCTTGTATGTGTATTTCAGTGCATATGCATAAATGTTGGATATGGATGCAGGATTGAAATTGCTAAATCGTAGGGTATAATTCAGAGTGCGTGGGGGTGGATCCTGCTAGCTTACGATTCTAACATACAGCCAGAGTTGAGGACCACTGCTCCAATTTAATCTCCACAACAGCCCATCAAAGCAGGCATGGTTGTTATCCCCATTTTGAACGTGAGGAATCTGAGGCCCAGAGAAGGTAAGTCATCTGCCCCAGGTCACACAGCTGGAAAGTAGCAGAGCTGGGATTAGAACCAGGTTCCAATCTTGATCTTGACCATCTTGCTAACCAGAACCGTCTCGTCCCTCTTGATTTGCAGGCCTGTGATCCTGGACCCGGCTGACCCTACGTGGGATGTGGGAAACGGGGCAGCCTGGCGCTGGGATCTGCTGGCCAAAGAGGCAGAGTCGTGCTGTGACCACCCATGCTTTCTGCAGGCAGCAAGGGGCCCTGTGCAGCCCTGGGAGGGGCCGGTGAGTGGGGGGGCGCCCCAGAGTCCTTGGGCTTGACCTCTAAGTTACGTGCTCAGTGTTTCCTGAGTATCTTCTACGTGCCGGGGGCCGTGGCGTGTGGAACAGAGTTGAAAAAGCAGGAGCAGCACCGTGTGAGCAATCTGACCGCCACGCCAGGCCTGCCCAGGGGGACAGGACACCTTGGTTTTCCTGGAGCTAGTGTCTGCTTACCACGCTGTGTCCGCCCACCATAGGGGGACCTTCTTATCATTCATCCCCTCTGTATGGGCGCCTTTTCTAACCTGCACTAAGGTGCCATATGGGCTGGTGGCGGCCCTCCCACTTCCCCTCTCTGAGCCCCAGTGGCCCTGACTGTACCAATGGGAGGGGGCTGATGAGAGAAGGGGCATAGAAACCTCTGAGCATGGGTAGGATGGCTCCTTCCACAATCTTCCAGGACCTTCCACGCGCCGGGTGCCCGGGTTTGGACCACCGCATCCAGCAAGACCCTGCCCAGAGGACCCCCGAGGACAGCGGGGTTCTCACTGGTGTGCACCCGAGCACAAGGAAGAGGCAGCCCTGGAGCCCGGCTCCTGGTCCCTCGAGCGCGGCCAGCATCGCGCCCCGCCCACCGCAGGAGGTCTCGGATCTGTCTCGGATCCCTGCCCCGGAGCTGGACCGCTTCATCCAGGACCACCTGATGCCCAGCTCCCAGTTCCAGAAGCAAGTGAGCAAGGCCATCGATGTCATCTTGCGTGGCCTCCGTGAGAACTGCGTCCACAAGCCCTCACGAGCCAGCAAGGTGAGTCTGGCAGGTGCAGGCACCAATGGGACCCTACGGAGGGACCACAGTGGCAGCAGAAGGAGACAGAGCAGGGACACTGGCCATCTCTGGAAGGGTACTTTGCTGGATGGAGAAATATATTTAAGTGCCAGCTTTTTTTTTTTTAATAACACTTTCAAAAAAAACAACACACTATTCAACCATAATCAGATCACTTCCCTGCTCAGCTCAAAGTCCTCCAGCATTTCACCGGGTACGGCGGCCTCAAGGCCCGCGGGATCTGGCCCTGGTCTCCCTCCGACCTTCACTTCCTCCGCACTGGGCCCCTGGCTGCTTCTGGAACTCACCCGGCACACATCCCCACTGCCTGTTCTCTCTTCTAGAATGCTCTTCTCCCATCCTCTTAACTCCCCCTCCCCTCCTTAAGTCTGCAACTCAAGTCCCTTTCTCGCTGAGGCCTGACTACTCGATTTCAAACTGCAACCTCCACCCCACCCCGAGGCCACTCACTGCTCCATCGGCCTCTGCCCAGCACCTGGAACCTTCCAGAACTGTTGTTTGCTGACTGTGCCTCCCTCCCCCGCCCCCTGCTAGATTATCAGTTCCAAAAGAATGAGTAACTTTCACCCACTCGCACATCCTGGTAGGCGTCAATGATCAATAAACATTCATTGAATGAATGAATGAGTGAATGAATGAATTGATTGAAACAGGCCCACAGAACACATCTGCAGGCCCCTGGGGGCCTGGGTCCTCCGAGTGCACCTGTGGTCCAGATGTGCAGTCGGCAGGTGCTGCAGGCGTCCCGCTGAAACCTTTGATCACGGCCCCGCTGCAGCCCGCCCACGTTCCCGGCTGCTGCATATCGGGCTGACTTCGCGCAGCCTCCTCAGGTTTGAAGGCAGGTGCAGGCAGACACGGCCCGACTCTGCCAGGCTCCCAAGAGTCAGAGGTCACAGGGCTGTGTTGTAGTACCCCTGACCCTACACCAGCGAAGAACAGTCTCAGGGTGGCGGGTGGGGTGCAGCTGGTGGGGTCAGAGGGTGACTCCTGGGCTCCCAGAGGGTCCCTGCTCTGAGATGTTCTTTTCCCTGCAGGGGGGCTCATTCGGCCGGGGCACCGACCTCAGGGGTGGCTGTGATGCTGAACTGGTCATCTTCCTCAACTGCTTCAAGGACTACAAGGACCAGGGGGCCCGCCGGGGGCAGATCCTTGAAGAGATACGGGCACAGCTGGAATCGTGGTGGCAGGACCGGGTCCCCAGCCTGAGCCTCAAGTTCCCTGAGCAGAGCGCGCCTGGGGCTTTGCAGCTCCAGCTGGCATCCGCGGCCCTAGAGAGCCGGGTGGATGTCAGCCTGCTGCCTGCCTTCGATGCCATTGGTGAGGGTGCCCAGCCTGCGCCTTGGAGAGCTGTCTTCAAAGACGATCTGTGTGTGTGTGTGTGTTTGTTTTGTTTTGCTTTCCTTTTCGGTAGCTTTTTAGACTTTCTCTCGGTTCATAGCATTCTTCAGTGTCTGATCTGTCTGCATATGCTCTCTTTTTCTTTACACTGTTGAATTTGTCATGCTTTTCCAATCTGAGAACTCAACTTTTCCTCTAGTTTTAGGAAAATGTCTTCCAACATCTCTTTAAAGACTGCCTCTTCCCTATTTTCTCTATTCTCTGCTTCTGGAACCACTCTTAAATGGCGGCTCACTTCCTTCTCCCTGTCTTTTCTTCTGTCTCATTTTTCCCATCTCTGTATCTCTCAGGGCTGCCTGCCGTTCGCTTGTTCGATTCCACCTTCCTATTTCCTAACTCTCTTCAAATGTGTCTAATCTGCTTCTGGCCTTAATTTTTTTTAAATCTCAATGACGTTATTTTTCACTTGTAGAAGTTCTATTTGGCTCTTTCTCCGATCAACCCATCATTTGTTCATAGATTCCTATTCTTTCATTGTGGCTTCAGTTCCTTTGATCTCTTTAATTATCTTAGTCTCTCAGATTGTCCTGTTTTCTCCAGTTCTTGAAGGGCTGCTTCTCCTCGTTGCTGGGTTTCCCGACTCTCCCTCGTGGTGGATCGTTTCCTCATGTGCTCTGTAATTTTTGATCGTGAGCTCATCTTCGGAATATGTGGCACCTTCATTTTCTTTCCTTTCCCATGGATGTTCCTTCTGCTCTGGGTTGGAGGCACAGCCTTTAGGGAACCAAGTTTTGATTTTGATTTCTAGCGAGGCTTCAAGAGTTTCACTAGTTCTCAGGCCAGTTTTACGTTCTTTTAACAGCCTGGGGTTCCCCCACCAGAGACTGTCGATTTGGGCTTCACACCCACATCCAGCACACAACTGGGTCTCCGTTTCTTCTTCCTCCGACCCAGAGCCCAACGGCAGGCTTCCTTGAAGTCTCTCTGAGAGACGGTGATCTTTTTTAGTCGCCGTCCATGGAGAAGGCATCTATTCCAGAGTGCCAGCCTCACGAAAGAGGGGGGTGGGACTCCATTCCAGCTTCCTCTCGATGCCCTGATTTTCTCTTCTGGGAGCTAACAACATTAATAATAGCTACAGTTTATGTTTATTGAGCATGTTGCATATTCTAAGCCTTCACACATCGATTTCATTTGATTCTCACAAGAGCCCTATGAAGGGGATGCTATTTCTTACCTCCGTCTTACGGATGAGGAAACCAAGCCTCAAAGAGGCCAGGTCCGCACAGCTAGGATTTGAACCCAGGCCCGTCTGAGCCCAAAGCTCATCTCCTTCACCTCTTTGCTACATGGCTTGTCTGCGGTCAAGATTATCCACCTTGCAGAGTTACTGGGTGAATTACTGAAAATTATTTAAAAAGCGCCCAGCATATAGTCGGTACCAAATAATAATAATAATAATAGCTCTGCTTGCTATTGTAAGTTATAGATTGTCTACAGTTGATTCAAGGTTTTATCATTGCTGTTAAACTTACGGAGGCTGGTGCTGGCTGGGCCGGGAAGGCTGCTGACTCCAATCAGAACTGTGCGCTCAGAGCTCCTAACACCCACAGGCCAGCTCCGCGCGGGCGCCAAACCCGAGCCCGGGGTCTACTCGAGCCTCCTGGACAGCGGCAGCCGGGGGGGCGAGCACGCCGCCTGCTTCGCGGAGCTGCGGAGGAACTTCGTGAACACGCGCCCGACCAAGCTGAAGAACCTGATCCTGCTGGTGAAGCACTGGTACCGCCAGGTGAGGCCCCCAGGCCCCCTTGCTCCGCCCAGGAAGCGGGTGCTGTCATGGCAACTGCCTCAGCCAATCAGCTCCTCCTCTACGCCGCGATCACCACCCCCCCCCCCCCCCCACTTCTTATTGGCCATCCCAGCTAGAAGGACCACCACCTCCATCCTCCCGGTCCCTTCCCACCTCCAAGCCTTTGCTCGTGCTTTTCCCCCATCACCATCTTCTTTGCAAGTTGCGCCAGATCTTGAGCGTCCTTCAGGGCTCCCTCGCTGAACGCTCCTCTGAAGGCCAGCTCGCTCGCGCTCACTTATTCAACAAACGTCTCCTGAGCGCGCGTTGCTGCTAACTGTTGGGATACCGAGATAAATAGATTGCAGCTGCCTTTCCTCTACACCCGAGCCCATCCACCCTTTGAGGAAAGACTCTAGGCAAAGACCCAGTCTGAGCCTCTTAGCCTCACGGTGTGACCTTGGACGAGTCACTCTGCCCTCTGGAATGAGTTCATCCACCTGTAAAATGCAAAGGCTGAGCCAGGCTACCTCCAGGTTCTACTCTCTCTTGTCGTTTTGCTTTTTATATTCCTCTGTTTCTCCGACTGCGTAGGGCCGTGCATAGCACACAGTAGGTGCCCGCGTCCACTGATTCTTGACTGGCTTTGGGTGACACAGGTTGCAGCTCAGAACAAAGGAGCGCAGCGGGCCGGTGCCTCTCTGCCGCCCGCCTACGCCCTGGAGCTCCTGACCATCTTCGCCTGGGAGCAGGGCTGCGGGGAGGACCGCTTCAGCATGGCCCAAGGCCTGCGCACCGTCCTGGGGCTGGTCCAGCAGCACCGGCAGCTCTGCGTCTACTGGACGGTCAACTACAGCTTTGAGGACCCAGCTCTCAGAACGCACCTTCTTGGCCAGCTGCGGAACCCCAGGTGCACGCCCACTTCCCCACTGCCTGCTCTGTGTCATCCTTGTCCTGACCCATTGTCCCCTGGAGTCACTGTTCCACGAGCGGTCCAGGGTGGGGTTGGGGCACCCCACCCCGCTTCCCTCTGGACTCTGCTGAGAAGGCTTGGACACAAGGAGCCCTGAAGGAACCCAGGGCCGGTTTTAGTAACACAGTAAAATACCATTTCTTAAACTAAGGGGCTGCCCAATAGCTTCCCGACAGAGGCGGCCAGCCGGGCACCCTCCTGCACTTGGGCAAAACTTGGCCAACCTTAAAGTCCTCATAGTCTCCTCCATCTCCCCAGGCCCCCCACCCCCTCCCGGTCTCTCCCACCCCTCTGTTCCTTCACTGATTCCCACCTTCCCCACCTGCCTGCCCACCCACTCTGCCCCCAGGCCCCTGGTCCTGGACCCTGCCGACCCCACCTGGAACGTGGGCCAGGGCAGCTGGGAGCTGTTGGCCCAGGAAGCAGCAGCCCTGGGGACGCAGCCCTGCCTTATGAGTAGAGAAGGGACACCAGTGCAGCCCTGGGATGTGATGGTAAGAGGGGGTCCCTGGGGTGGCAGGTGCTGGCGGCACCCCTCCCCAGATCCCCTTTCCCGGCCGGTGCACACATCCCCAGCCGCTAGGAGTGTAGGCTGCTGACGGCTTACAGCTGAGGCACGGGTTGTTCCCCCAGTGAGGCATGGGCCTCCTCAGTGCCCCCGTTCAAAGTTGGGGAAACTGAGGCTGTGTGGCAGAGGTGGCACCAGAACTGGAACTCTGGTCCCCATGATGCTGGGACCCACCGACCAGTTGAGAAGAAAAAAATATAGGACATAGTGGGAGTCTTGTCCTCATAGGACATCATAGGGCGGGGCCTGGCGTCCGCGGGGACCCCATCTCGAGCTGGCCCTACCTGGGTTCTCCCTGCAGCCCGCTCTCCTTTGCCAAACTCCGGCCAGTGACCTGGACAAGTTCATCACTGAATTCCTGCAGCCCAACCGCCACTTCCTGGAGCAGGTGAACAAGGCCGTGGACACCATCTGCTCGTTCCTGAGGGACAACTGCTTCCGGAACTCTCCCATCAAGGTGCTTAAGGTGGTCAAGGTGAGTCCCAGGGGGCTGTGGGCAGAGAGTAGGGCGGCGATCTCTCCCAGGTCCGGCCAGGTCAGAGCCATTTCTGTGGCCCCTGCAGCAACCAGCACAGGGCCAAGCATCAAGGAGAAAGTAGAATGTGGTCATGGCTGGATGGCAGAGGGAGGGCTCAGGTTGCCCAATGAGTTTGTTTTGGTTGCTCATGACAGCCAACTCAAAAGAAGTGACCAAAGGAAGGTATTGGCTGATGTCAGCGGAAAACCCTGGAGTAGAGCTGCCTTCAGACACGGTTAGATCCAGGAGCCCATACAGGATCTTCAGGACTCAGCTTTTCTCCCTAGCTCCTAGCTCTCGGCTCTGTCTTCTTCTGTCTTTGGACAGGCCCTGTCCATGTGATGGTCTTTGGCATCTCTAAGCTTCCAGAAAGGGAAATTCTCTTTTCTTGAAATTCAAAGAAAAGTCTTAGAATTGAGTGTCGTTGGCTGGCTATACCTCCCCGAACCAATCACGGGGCTGGGGGGACATCCTGCTCTGCCCGGCCACGCCTGGGTCACATGGTGGATTCAGCCCCATGTGGACATGGTGGGCTGACTGTGGGGGAAGAGGGGCTCCCCCAGAGAAAGCCAGAATGTGGTCCCAGAGGGTGGAACGGATGTCGGGGTGTACCAGAAGTCACATTACCCACTGGAGCAGATACAACCTTAGTTCCCAATCGGAGTCACAGTGAGACGCAGGTCAGCACTGCAAAGAGCATCGGCACAGAGTCAGCCGATGAAAAGTCCCAGGCCTGGTGGTTTGCTGTGTGACCCCAGGTAAATACCTTCCCCTTTCTGATCCTTGACTTCCTCATCTGTAACACTTGAGGACAGTAGCCTGACTCGCTGTTCTCAATTGTGGCTTCACTTAGAATCACAGTGAGGCTTTTAAAAAATATACTGATGCCCCAGCCACATCCCAAATTAAATCAGCCTCAGGGGTAGAGGGGCCAGGCATTGGACAGACAGGCTTGAGAACCAAAGGCCTAAAAAAATCTCTCAAATCCCTTCCAGCCCCCAAACAATAGAATGAGAAATTTTACATTTATTGAAGGGTTTAAACTTATGTCTTGCACTTTTCCTTTTCTTACAACAATGCCACATATTAATTCCATATTAAAGATGTAAAACAGAGAGGTTAGGTGACTTGCCCAAGGTCACACAGCAGGTCCCTAACTCAGAGTGCAGAGCCCATAGTCTCTGGCAGGAGGAGGTCAAACGGTACTTCAAGGGTCGAGCCACCTGCCATGTCCTCTCCAGGGTGGCTCTTCAGCCAAAGGCACAGCTCTGCGAGGCCGCTCAGACGCCGACCTAGTGGTGTTCCTCAGCTGCTTCAGCCAGTTCACCGAGCAGGGGAACAGGCGGGCCGAGATCATCTCAGAGATCCGAGCCCAGCTGGAGGCGTGTCAGCAGGAGCGGGAGTTTGAAGTGAAGTTCGAGATCTCCAAGTGGGAGAACCCGCGCGTGTTGAGCTTCTCCCTGACATCCCAGACGATGCTGGATCAGAGTGTGGACTTTGACGTGCTGCCGGCCTTTGACGCCCTAGGTGAGGTGCCCAGGCACAGTCCCCAGAAGGGGAACAGCAGAGGCAGGGCTGCCACGGACAGCTGTAGAGTTTGTGCACTGCACAACTAGACCGCACCTGTTCACATCGTAGGCATTGTCGATGTGGATGTTTGTCACACCTGTCCTGCAAAGTGTCCGGAGAAAAGGGCACCTTTTGCTAATTCATGCAAAGGTGCTATGTGGGCAAACGGTGGTCCTGAGCTGCGTTCTTGTCCCAGCAGCTCCACCAACATGCTGGATGATCTTGAACAAGGGACTTCCCGCTCTTGAGCCCCAGCGTTTTCATCTGACAGTGTGGACACTGAAGTATCTCAGTGCGTCCCCAGCTTTGAGTATCCGTGTACCACCTCCCACACCCACCACAGACCCATTCGATCAGTCCATTCAATTAGTGCACCTACTGTGTGCCGGACTCTTCCCAGTCCTGAGCACAAACCCCTGAACCAAACAGCCACAAATGCCTTTGTCTGTACTCAGCTCCGAGTGTGAGAGCAGAGTCTGCAGGGGAGGAAACCCCCTGGAAACGAATGTATCTGGCTCCTGAGGTTTGGGAAACAAGTAGCAAGGGAGAGATTCATCCAGAAATGCATCTGAATCTATTCAGCTCCCAGCTCAGAGGGCGAGAGCTGGGTATCAGGGGTGCCTTTGGGTGCAAGGGACCAGCCGGGGACGCCAGCGCTGCCCACCCCCCGCTGTGTTCCCTGCAGAGGCTCTGCCTTGTCAGAGAGAGACCAGCAGGTGTCAGGCGTTAAAGAAAGGTCAGCTCCCAGCTGAGACGTCCTCCTGCTGGGGAAGCGGGTGCATTGAAGGTGGGCAGCAAAGGGGATGAGACCCCCCCCCCAAGGATTTCATGCCGGGCCTGTGTTCCCCCTCAAAGACCCCCGGGCCTCCCACTGGGTCCTGTCCACCCACAGGGAGACGCCCAGCAGGAGATCTCAAGAAGTCCTTCCTGAGCTGGCCCCACGGGGACCCTAGGGAGTGAAGTGATGGTGGTCTCCTCCCCCCCTGCAGGCCAGCTGGTCCCGGACTCGCGGCCCCGCCCGCAGGTCTACGTGGATCTCATCCACAGCTACAGCAACGCGGGCGAGTACTCCCCCTGCTTCACGGAGCTGCAGCGCAACTTCATCAGCTCCCGGCCCACCAAGCTGAAGAGCCTCATCCGACTGGTGAAGCACTGGTACCAGCAGGTTCGCAGGGGTGCGGGGCCACCTGCCGGCGGCCGGGCTGTCCCTCCGCAGCGCTGTCCCGGGAGGATGCGGGGCCCGGCCCCGGCCGGAACCCTGGGCTGGTGGAGCAGAGAGAGATTTCCCAGCCGTGGGACCTCAGTCTCCTCATCTGTGCAATAGGGCTGACATAACTGTGCCGTGGGATTTGACGGGATGATGACCGTATGGCATGGGCACACGGAGGTGCCCAACAGAAGTTTGGGATGGGGTTTGCCCACTCTGGAAGGGTCCCTCCCATTCCTCTTCATTGCCGGGAGGGACCAACACATCCCCTGTCTCCTTGTGTCCCAGTGCAACAAGATGCCCAAGGGGAGGGGCTCGCTGCCCCCCCAGCACGGGCTGGAGCTGCTGACTGTGTATGCCTGGGAGCAGGGCGGGTGCGACTGCCAGTTCAGCATGGCCGAGGGCTTCCGCACCGTGCTTGAGCTGGTCCGCCAGTACCGCCAGCTCTGTGTCTACTGGACTGTCAACTACGACAACGAGAACGAGACCGTCAGAGACTTCCTGAAACTGCAGCTTCAGAAGCCCAGGTCCAGGCCACCCTCCATGCCCGGGTTCCCAGCTCCGGGGTCGCTCCCTCCCTCCCCGCCTCCTAAGGGCATGGAGCAGAGGCAGGAAAGTCTTCTTTCTAGAGCCGAGCTCCTTTCTAACAGTGGTGCTCAGTACTGAGGGACAGGCAGCCAGCTTCCTGGTCACCTGTAAACAGGGTGGCCCAGTGGGATGCAGGATCCAAGTTAAATCTGAATTCTAGATAAACAGTGGGAAACTTTCTGGTATAAGTATGTCCCATGCAATATTTGGGATATACTTATGCTTTGAAAAAAAAAAAAACTTACTCATTTATCCAAAACTCCAATTGAACTGGGCATCCTCTACTGGTATTTGTTTAATCTGGCAACCCCACCTGCGAACCCTCAGAGAACATAAGCATATCTCGTTCTTGGGGATTTCACCTGCCTCTGAAATGGTGCAGAGGTACCAGAGGTGCTTTCACAAGTGCCTGAGGCACCTCCAGGCAGTGGACAATGGCTCCTTGAGCGATGTGTTGAGAAAGACTCTGAGGTTGTGATTTGGCTCAGTGAGAAGAGTTGCCTGCTCAGTCAGCGAGGTGTCCCACCCACACAGGAAGGGAGAGGGGCGCAACCAGTGCTGTGATTGATTAAGGATGCCTGCTTGGCGTCCAGAAGGGGTGAGCATGCCTGAGCACTGTTGTTGATTGGTAATGTCTGCCCTGGATGCCGCTGGGAGACCTGGACCACGTGTGGCTTATTTTCTCTCCCTGCCCTCGAGCGTGTGTCCAGAGCCCTGAAGAGTCTACGAGCCCTGTCCCTGCCCACTGCAGAGTGTTGGTGAGGGAAGAGAATAGTCCAACCAACCCTAGAATAGGCCAACCAAATTCCTCAAAGTTGCAGGAATAAGACTGACCCTGGATGGAAATTGCAGGCCCATCATCCTGGATCCGGCTGACCCGACAGGCAACCTGGGCCCCAATGCCCGCTGGGACCTGCTGGCCAAGGAAGCTGTGGCCTGCATGTCTGCCCCATGCTGCATGGGCAGGGATGGCAGCCCCATCCAGCCATGGCCGGTGAAGGTGAGAGACCTGTGGGGCAGCAGGGGCTCCCTTGGTGGGGGGGGGGGGGGGCAATGTGGGCGGGGGAGGGGCATGTCTGCTCCCAAAGGGGCAGGGCCCAGTCCTGGCCCCGGGTGTGCCCCCGGCCTCCATGTCCTGTCTGTCCATGGGTCTCAGCTTCTCCAGGAAGGTCAGGGCTAACCAACGTCTTCTATAACCCTCCCCAGGCCGCGGTGTGAAGCCCAGAAAGTCAGTGGTCGTACCAGATGGACAGATGGACACCAGCCCTTGCCCTGGGGAGACTCAGGGTCACCTGCCACATGCGTGTGTGAGTGTGTGAGAGACAGCGAGACTGAATCAGTGGGTCTGCCTCCTCCGCAGCCCAGCCTCCCAGCCCTTCCCACCTCCGAGTGGCCCCTCTGCTCTCCCCACCTGACTCAGTCTCATCGAGCACCACCTGGGACCAGATGGGCCCTCGCCGGCTCACACACTCCCCTGCACCCTGCAGTCCGTGGGTCGGCCCCAGCCTGGGTTCTCAGCTTCTCCATCACCCTCGTGACTCTCTGTTCTCAGGCAGCTGCTGCTGCATCCTACACTGCACCCCACCCCTGCTGTGAACGGCCTCTTTCTCCCTGACTTCTCTCTGCCCATCCACACGGGCTCACATCCTTCCTCCTGCGGAAACCCATCCCTGGCCTCCCAGTGCCTTGCCTTCTTCCCCAGTCCAAGAACTTTTCACGGGGATGGCAGAGTTTTCATCTCGTTTGTCAGCCACTATCAGTTGGTCGTGGCTGCCTGGAGCCCTGTGTTCTGAAGGATTCTGAAGAATGGATACATAGCTGGGAAGAGTGACCTAATCGATTGGTTATGTCTGCCATGGATGCAGTAGAGGAAGGTGGTGGCATGAGTGCCGTGATTGATTGGCAGTGTCTGGCCTGGATGCAGGAAGAAGGTGCTCGCAGGCCTACAGTGTATCTTTGGGCTATTGAGGAGCTCTCTGAGCTCAGCTGCCAGCAGGGGAGCATGCCCAGATCAGCTAGCTTTGTCTGCCACATACACAGAGGGAGACGGGGACATGCACGCCATGCGGTCCCTCTCACTGGACACCTAATTGGATCCCTTCTCATCAGAGACCTCGGTTTCTTCACCCTTCCTGTTGCACTCATTCCCCCAGTTTGTACATCTCGATGCCATGGCTTGTTTGTCTTACTGAATTTTTTCTGGGTTTCTGTCTTCTCTCCTGACCCACTGGAATGCCACCCATGGGATCCTCCATCCTCAACTGAACGTGAGCCAATGCTCGAACAACGGTGCTCAGCCTGTTTCTCTCTGCCTCCAGAACAAATCTACCAGGTCCATGCAGGAGGCACTCCAGACCTCCAGTCCAACAACGGTGCCCCTCTTAGTCAGGGCTCAGCACAGAAACCAGAAAGTACTCCAGGAATCGTAAGCAGAAAGGGGTTCCACCTAAACCCACCTAAACTCTGCCAGAGGAGCAGAAGGCAGGGGCCACCGCTGGACTATTGGTTTCAAGATCAGATCACCGTGGCTGACTCAGAGGTCAGGAAGCTGCTGTTTCTGCCAACGCCACTGCAGCCGCCCCACTGCCACACACCCACAGCGCTGGGGCCCAGACCCGGGAACAAGGGCTCAGCGGCCACAAACATCTCTCAGGACTTGCCAGCTGCCAGCGCTGCCAGAAGATGGCTTCTGCCTCCTTCCTTTAGCACAGTTTAAATTACAGCCAGAATTCTGGCTGCAGGGGAGTCTGAGAGGCGAATGTTTCATCTCCCATCCCACGTAGCGCAGGGAGGAATGGATGCCCAGTGCCTGGGCCCAGGGTCCGGCCAGCATCCCCCGCAGCTGCACTGGGAACATCTTTTGGGTGGGTGATGGAGTGGTCCATCCCAGAAAGGAGGGCCAGGAGACAGAGAAAGCAGCCACTGCATATCCCCTCTCTGCCCTCCGGAGTATCTCAGACAGTCTGACTCTCTCGGGACCACTGCTGGGCACTGCCGGTCAGGTGCTGTGTTAGTCCCTTCGGGCTGCTGTCACAAAGTACCACAGTCTGCGTGGCTTATAGTCTCTCTCAGTGCTGGAGGCTGGAAGTCTGCCGTCAGGGTGCCAGCCCGGTGGGGTTCTGCAGAGGGCCCTCTTCCGGGCTGCAGACTTCTTGTGTCTTCCGTGGTGGGAAGAGAGCTAGCCAGCCCTCTGGCCTCTTCTTGTAAGGGTGCTAATCCCATTCACAGGGCTCTACCCTCCTGACCTAATGACCTCCCAGAGGCCTCACCTCCTCACACCATCACCCTGGGATTAGGGTTTGAACATAGGGATCCAGGGAGACACGAACATCCCATGCATTGCAGGGATGCAGACCAGGGGACGGGAGGAAGCGCTCTCCCCTCACCATCATCCTCTTGGAGAGAGAGAGGGATGGAGAGCCGTGCTCTGCTCCACAGGGAGCCAGTCCTCCGCCTTCGGCTCAGCCCACAGGGTCTGGGGTGGGTGAGGCTCGGGAAGACCCCCCACGACCCGAGCCACATGTACGCCTCCATCCCCGTGTTGCTCTTGCTGCTGGATGGGTGTTAATAAAGTCTTCTTAAACTCACCTTGCTGACTGGCCAGGAACCTAAGACGGGAGCTCTCAGGACCCCAAGTTACACCTTCTGTGTTAGCCCCGGCTGCTGCTCCGCGCTGTCTCGAGAACTCGGGGGAAACACCCGTGGGCAGCAGAGACCTGCTCTGCCATGTGTCCGGCAGCAGATGGGGACTCAGCCTGCACGTTGCGAGCCTTCAGTTCTCGTCCTGGGTGGACCGGGTGGATCCCAATGTGGGGACTCCCATCCTCACCACATGGACTCCAGGCCTCCCTCTCGAAATGGCTGTAGAGCTAGGATAATTGTGAGCTGGTTGGAAACGGGGGGGCACGAGTGTGTGGGAAGAGAGGTGAGGTGGTCCCCTGGGCCGGGCAGAGAGGACGTCTTGCGATCGGAGCAGGGGCGTACTTTATTCTAGCCGCTTGGTCTTTGACAGTGGCCCCTGGGATTGACTTAGTGGCTCCGCTGTAACTTTTGGGGTCTTCCTGATGCAGCCACACCCTTAGGGAGTTGTCAGTTCTCCCTAAGTTGACTTATGCATTCAATGATCACCCAAAAATAGCCACATGCACTTTTCTCTGTAACTAGACAAGTTGGCACTGAAGTTCTTATGGAAAAATACACATCCAAGAAAAACTAGGAAAACGCAAAAAAACAGGAAAAGAGCTCTGAGGAGGGACTAGCCTTAACTGATATTAAAACATACACCGAAATCTCTAGTATTTAAACAGCTTGGCAGTGGCACATAAATAAACAGGCCAGTGGAATTGGGTGGCACCTGCCATGACCTTGGTAAAAAAAAAAAAACGAAAAGCTAAATGTGATCAACCAGCAACTGAAAGCCCAGAATGAGCGCCTGAGGCTCCTTCTACCCCCTGTAGCCAGACGGGCAGGGAAGTGAGGCCCCCGCCCAGGAGCGAACTGCAAGGGAGGCGGGGCTCCAAAGAAAGGGTTGTGTTGTTTTTAAATTTAACTTTTACCTAAAAACAAATTTTTCTTTAAGCCAAGAAGGGAAGTTTCTTTTTTTTTTTTTTTCAAAGTTTTGTATGTCAGTACATTTTTTTTGTTTCAAAGGATGGCCCTGAGCTAACGTCTGTTGCCAATCTTCCTCTTTCTAACCCCTTCCCCTTCGCCCAGTACATAATTGTAGATCCTGGTTGTAGGTCCTTCCAGTTCTTCTATGTGGGACATGACCTCAGCATGGCTTGATGAGCGGTGCCATGTCCACACCCGGGATCCGAACTGGTGAACCCTGGGCCGCCGAAGCAGAGCACGTGAACTTAACCGCCACACCACCAGGCCAGCCCCCTAAAAAATTTCTATAGAGATAACACATATACCATAAATTTCACCTTTTAAAGGGTGCAATTCAGTGGTTTTAGCATATTCATAAGGTTTATATTTAGTATATTCACAAGATGAGCGAAGTCACAAGGTGTACACATCACACTAATTCCAGAACATTTTCATCACCCCCAAAAGAAATCCGAAACCCCTCAGGGCTCACTCCCCATTCCCTCCAGCCACCTCCCCCTGATCCCTGGCAACCGTGAATCTGCTTTCTGTCTCTACCACAGACACTTTGTATAAAGGGAATCCTACAATACATGACCTCTTGGGTCTGGCTTCTTTCACTTAGCACAGTGTTTTCACATGTGACAGCGTATGTTAGGCTTCATTCCTTTTTATTACTGAGTAATATTCCACCGTATGGATGTGCCACAATTTGTTTCTCCATTCATCCATTGATGAGCATTTGGATTTTTCCCACTTTTTGCCCACTGTGAATAATGCTGCTATGAACATTTGTGTACAAGATTTTATGTGGACATATATTTTCATTTATCTCAAGTGCAATACCCAGGAATGGGATTGCTGGGTCACATGGTGAGCCTAGGTGCAACCATTTGAGGAACCACCTTACTGTTTTTCACAGAAGCTGCACCACTTATGCCCCCACCAGCAATGAATGGGGGTCCCAGTCTCTCCACATCCTTGCCAACACTTTTTATCGTCCATCATTTTGATTATAGCCATCCTAGTGGGTGTGAAAGAAAGTTATATACTCTCAAAATAATCAGGTCTGCTAAACAAGGTCAGGACCTAGCTTGGGAAAGAATGGGACCCTGACTCATAGACGGGGCACGTAAGAGTTGAAGCTCCTGAAAATCTTGAATCCCCAGATTCCTCTGAGCTTCAGGAATGGCCCACCCACCCTTCTTGTTAAAAGCTAGTCCCTCACCCCTCACCTAGAGACCCTGTGGAGGCCTGTCTTCCGTAAGACCTGTGCCCACCTTCCCTCTTGCCCTCTAGGCCTATGACTAATGTTACGTCCCGAAATAACCCAGTTGAGGATGTGCTGGGCCTGAGAAGGGAGGGAAGGACTTGTATCCCGAAGACCCATAGGGATGTGAGCATGACGGCAGTGTCGGAGAATCCCTTTGTCTCTCCCCTTCAATCTACAGCTAGTTGAACATCCCTAACCCAAGAAGGCTACATGGCCAACACACCAGGATGCTGGAGAGACCCACACATCAGTATACACGAAGGTACAAAGAGGAGGTGAACTGGGGGAACAGCAGGGGCAGTACCCAGGATCCTGGACCCCCAGCCCCAGAGAACCTGGTGGGCAGCAGCAGAGGCAAAGATGTTCGAACCTCCCAACTGCAGTGACACCTGAGGCCAAAAGGAAACAAACAACAGCAGAGGCAGTGCCCACAAACCCTGCTTCCCCCACCCTCCCCCTCCCCTGCCACCATGGTGGCGCTTCTGACCACAGTGATTCTGTACAGACATGGGGGAGGCATCAGTCATTGCTGTGACCCCCAGCAGTGAAGCCAGCAACCATAGCAACACCAGCCCTGTGTCAGTGACCCCTGAAGTACACGTGATGAGGCAAGAGTGCCAAGTACCCGGCGACACCCCTAACAGGGGCAGTGGAGGGTGGAACGTGCTGATCCTCAAACACAGCCAGAGGCAGCTCAGGGAAGAGAAGCCAAAACTAGTGCCACAGCAGCACCTACTGGAGAACAAAAGAAAGCCCTCTAATCTCCAATCAGCTGAATAGTTAGAATCAAAACAAGCAAAGCTGCACCTAAGTAAGAAAAGTGTTCACTGTGACAAATGCACCAGCAGAAGAACAACCCAGCAAGCACCACAGAAAGCCACAGTAACACAGCATCACAAAAAGAAAATAACGCTTCTCCAGAAACCAAGCACAAAGTCATGGGAGATTGTGATCTAACTGATAAAGAATTCAAAATAGTTGCCATGATAAACTCAACAAAGTACAAGAAAACCCAGAAAGGCAGTTCAGTGAGCTCAGGAATAAAATCAATAAACAGAAGGAATACTTTACCAAAGAGATTAAAACTCTAAAAAAGAACCAAACAGAAATTCTGGAGCTGAAGAAATCAATAAAGGAGATGAAGAATGCATTGAAAAGCCTTGGAAATAAAGCAGACCATATGGAAGAGAGAATTAGCAAGCTTGAAGACAGAAACCTAGAAATGATGCAGGTAGAAGAGGAGAGAGAACTGAGACTTTTAAAAAATGTAAAAATTCTATGGGAATTATCCAAATCCATTAGAAAGAACAGCATAAAGACAATGGGTATACCAGAAGGAGAAGGCAGAGAGAAGGGAGTGGAGAGCTTATTTAAAGAAAGAATAGCTGAGAACTTCCCAAACCTGGAGACAGAACTCGATAAACTAATAAAACACCCAATTATCTCATTGCAAAAAGACCTTCTTCAAGACACATGATAATGAAACTGTCAAAAGTCAATGACAAAGAAAGAATATTAAAGGCAGCCGAGGGGAAAAACAACCTACAAGGGAACCAACATTAAGCTATCAGCAGATTTCTCAGCAGAAACTCTACAGGCCAGGAGAAAATGGAATGATATACTCAAAATATTGAAAGATAAATACTGTCAGCCATGAATATGCTATTGAGCAAAGTTATCCTTTGGATATGAAGGAGAAATAAAGGCTGTGGGAGTGAAACAAAAGCTGAGGAAGTTCGTCACCACTAAGACCTGCCTTACAAGAAATGTTGAAAGGAGACCTCCTACCTGAAACAAAAAGGCAAAAGTTTACAAAGCTTGGAGCAAGGCGATAAATAGACAGACAGAATCAGAAAACTGCAACTCTGTATCAGAAAAGGTTAGAAAACACTATTGTAACATAAAGACTAAAGGGAAAGAAAGTATAAAAAATTACTTTAACCAATTCAATTTGGTAACAAATTCACCATACAAAAAGGGACAATTTGTGACAACAAAAATATAGAAGGAAAAGGACAGAACCTGCGTAGGCAAACAGAGATAAGATGCTCTCAGCAGAGGACTATCTCATCTATGAGATCTTTTATACAAACCTCATGGTGACCATGAAACAAAAATTCAAGCAGAGTCACAAAACATAAAAAAAGAGAAAACTGAGAAACACATCACAGAAAACCACCAAACTGAAATGGTAGACAGAAACACAAAGAAAAAGAAACAATAGAAATATAAAACAACCAGAAAACAAAAGATAAAATGGCAGTATTGAGCCCCCATATATCAATAATCACTCTAAATGTAAATGGATTGAATTCATCAATCAAAAGACACAGAGTGGCTGGATGAATTAAAAAACAACACCCAACAACATGCTGCCTCCAGGACACACATCTCAGCTCTAAAGACAAACACAGACTCAGAGTGAAGGGATGGAAGACGATACTCCAAGCTAACGGTAAACAGAAGAAAGTGGGTGTAGCCATACTTCTATCGGGCAAAGTAGACTTCAAGATAAAAAAGATAAGGAGAGACAAAGATGGACATTTTATAATGATAAATGGGACAATCCACCAAGAAGACATAACATTTATTAATATATATGCACCTAACTTAGGAGCAGAAAAATATATAAAGCAATTATTAACAGACCCAAAGGGAGAAATTGACAGCAACACAATAATAGTAGGAGACTTTCATACCCCACTTACATCAATGGTTAGATCATCCAGACAGAAAGTCAGCAAGGAAACACTGGCCTTAAATGAAACATTAGACCAGATGGACTTAATAGACTCACATAAAAGATTCCATCCTCAAACAGCAGAATACACATTCTTCTCAAATGCACATGGAACATTCTCAAGAATAGAACATATGTTGGGAAACAAAACAAGTCTCAATAAATTCAAGAAGACAGAAATTACATCAAGTATCTTTTCCAACCACAACGGTATGACACTAGAAATCAACTACAAGAAGAAAGCTAGGAAAGTCACAAATATAAAAATAAAATAAATATAATATATAAATAATATATAAAATAATATATAATATATATAAAATAAATAAAATATAAAAAGTAAAAAGTGGAGACTAAACAACATGCTACTGAACAACTATTGGATCAATGAAGAATTCAAAGAAGAAATAAAAAAATACCTGGGGACAAATGAAACCAAATAGCCATAAGACCCTGGCAGCGTGTACCAGCAAAAGTCAGGTGGGTATGTGTAGGAGTGGACCCAATGGTGCTCGATCCAGGGCCTGCAGTGTAATTGGATGCGGAAGTTTATTGATTTGAAAGTCCCCTGCTGGGATTCAGGATTTCACATGCCGGGATGGACTGCAAGAGAAAGTGCAAATTTGCAGCCAGCAAAGCTCCTAGAAGAATGAGGAAAGTGGGAGCCTGTGCTGAGCGAGATCAAATACCAATATTGCTATGGGAGATGGTGGAAGATGGGATTAAAAGCTCAGAGGAGTAGGCATGCTGGGATGGGTATGCTATCCAAGGCCAGACACACCACCAATTATCTTCTGTGGAAAAGCAGAGAATGTACCTTTACTGAGGCCATAAGGACTAGGCCAGTGAGAGGACCCAGCATCACTAAGGAGGCTGGGTGGCCTCCTCCGTAGAAGATGCCGTTATAAGCTCCCTAACGGTACTGGGGATGGTAGAACCCTGAGATAATAGCAGCCACAAGGCAACTCTTACCCACGGATGGACACAATTCTCCTAATGAGTGGTGGGGTTGAGGGGCAGCCAGGAGGGCCTGACCCACAGAGAGTTAAGGAGCTGGTCATAAAATATAGCACCCCTGGGGGCAGACTAGATGGGCCACAGACCAGGGAACTACTCAATCTGCACATGAGGATGCTTCAAGGATGGACAATTACACCACAGGGAATTTCCTCCAAAAAGCCATCATCCTTTCCCAGGGGCTTCCCAGGGAACCCATTTGGGACACATGACAACTAAACAGAACATGTGACCCTAGGCGGGAGACGGAGGGGATGCTACGGAGAACAGCGTTAGAGTAACTGGGAAAATTTGAAGGTAAGAATATATTCGTTATACATGCTGTAAGGAATGATAGCATTATGTCAGTGTTAAAGTTCTGAATCAGATCATTGCTCCGTTTACAGAACAAGATACCCATGTTCTTAGGGGATCCACATTGAGGTATTTAAGAGTAAGGGGTCTGGGTGACTATGGTGTGTCCGCGCAGGTTCATCAGTTGTGACAAATGTACGGTGGGCGATGCTGGCAATGGAGGAGGTTGTGTATACGTCAGGGCCGCGGGTATCTGGGAACTCAGCCATAATAATACTGATAAGATGTGCCTAGAGAGAGAATAAGGGGCAGACGTGGTGGAATAATCTGGGTGAAGGACATAAGGAACGTCTTTGTACTCATCTTGCAAATTTTCTGTGTTTCAAATTATTTCTAAATAAAGTGTTTAAAAAATAATAAGAAATAAAGCACAGGCTTTGCAATCAGGTAGTGTAGAATTAGATCTTAGCCAGACAACTTACTGGCTGTGTGACCTTGGGCAAACCTTTCACCTCTCTGAGCACCATGTTCTCATCTAGAAAAGGAGGCTTATGGCCTCAGCTCAGTCTACCTCTAGGTGTCGCAGTAAAACTCAGATAAGGGCAAGGAAGGACCCTTATCGGGCAAGTGTAGGAGGCAAGATTCTCCAGAGAAACAGAACCAATAGGATGTATCTAAAGTCAGAGAGAGAGAGAGATTTATGTTAAGGAATGAGCTCACGTGATTGTGGAGCTTGGCGAGTCCAAATTCTGCAGGGTAGGCTGAGGGGCTGGAGACCCAGGGACAAGGTGATGCTGCCGCTCAAGGCTGAAAGCCAGCTGCTGGTGGCCTACCCTCTCTCTCAGGGGCGGTCAGTACTTTTTTCTATTAATGCCTTCAACTGATTGAATGAAGCCCACCCATATTATGGAAGGTCATGTGCTTTACTCAGAGTGTACTGAGTTAAATATTAATCTCATCTTTAAAAAAATGCCTTCCCAGAAAGATCTAGAATAATGTTTGACCACACATCTGGGTACCATGGCCCAGCCAAGGTGATTCACAAAATTAATGATCACAGCGGAGAAGGGCCCCTCTTCCCACACCGCAGAGACCTTTGTCTTCTGTATTACTTAGTGTGGCTGCGCAGAGGCAGCCGGGGGGAGCCCTCAGTCAGTCTCATTGTCACAGCGCTGCCCATCCATCTGTCTCCCTCTGACCTGGGGGCGCCTGGGCCTGTTTTCCCTCCTTGCTGGGTGGGCTAAGTGCCTGAGGAGGCCCCGCAGGTGTCCACACGTATACCGAGGAACTGAGTACACAGCAGCTCCCAGCCGCTGACACCCCCACCCCCCACCCCCAGACCTGTGTTTGCTCAGTGGCAGAAGTGAAACCCGAGTGTGGCTCAGCCCTCGCCTTGCTGGGCGTCCCTGAGCAAGTCAGTCCCCGCCCCGGGTCTCTTTCTCCTCGCTGCTCTCCTTGACTCTGAGTTCCCAGGCCACTGAGAACAGAGAAAAAGGGAAAGAGGCTCAAAAGACAACCTTTACCCCTTGTAAAATGCTATTTGCTTAACAAACGTTCATAAAGCTTCGGCCATGTGCTGGCCCCTTCCGAGTGCTTTGCAGGTATCATTTCATCCTTACGTTGCTCCTACGAGAGAGGTACTGTTGTCATCCCCTGCTTAATAGCTGGCGAGATGGAGGCACAGAAGGGGCAGGCAGTGTGCTCAAGGACGCAGCTCTAGCACGTGAAAGCCCTCCCAGTCGGGCTGCGGAGGCTGCGAGTTTGACGGGAGGGCCCCTTGGGAACAGCAGGGCTGTAAACCCCCCGCTGAGGGGGTGGGTGGGACTCCGGATCCAGGAAGTCAGCTGAGGCGCTCTGAGTTTCGGTTTCCCGCTCCAGGCACAGGAGTTTCTCTTTCTCCTCCTCCTCCTGCTCTGCCATTAGCTGTGACCCCAGCAGCCAGCAGGCGCGATGGGAAACTGGGAGTCCCATCTGTACGAAGTGTCTGCTCGGAAACTGGATGAGTTTATCCAGGAGTCCCTGCTGCCCTATAAAGAATGTGAGACACGGATCGACTGGACGGTGACCGGCATCTGCGCCGCCCTGCAGAGAGCCGAGCAGCTCACCCTGGAGAAATGGGTGGCCCAGGTGAGTGGAGGGCTGGGGCTGCGTTTCTGGGAGCCAAGAGATTCCACGGCCACCGGAAGGCAGGGAGACTTGGTGCTGAGCACCTACTATGTGCCAGGGCCTGGGCACACAAGATGATGGGAGATGGGGTAGAGCTCAGGAGCAGGGGCTCGGGAGCCAGCTCTGTCCCTTACTACTGTGTGACCCGGGGCAGGTTACTTAACTTCTCTGTGCCTCAGTCTCTGAATCTGTAAAATGGGAGAGAATAGTACTCACCTCAGGGTGTTATGAGACTTAGGCATATGGTGTTTTTAGCACAGAGCCTGGTACATAGTTAGTGCTCAATAAATTAGCTGTGATTACTCACTACTATTGTGTCTGTCGTCCCCGTATTACAGGGAAGTAAACTGAGGCTGGAGGACTTCAGTAAAGCCACCCAAGGTACCTCTGGTTGCTCAACAGCAAGGGGGTGGGGAGCTCTCATCAGTTAGCAATGGTCAGTGCTATGGGCAGGAATCCCGGGGCTGAGGCGGAAAGTTCTAGACCTTTGGGGAGGAAATGGTGCTGGGAAGCTGCCAGGAGCTGAGGGAGGGGTGTGGTTCGAGTTCCCCCCATGCTCTCCAGCGCCCGGCTTCCCACGTCTCTGCTGTCACGTGGCTCCTGGCTTCTGCCCTTACACACACCCAGTAGCCCTAGCAACAAAGACACCTGGACACTCGGTGTCCCCCTCCCTGGCCCAGATAAGGAAACTGAGGCATGAGGAAATTAGTTAATAGCAGGCATCAGAGCTGGCATTTAAACCCAGGCAATCTGCTTGGGAGCATGCGGGCTTAACCACCAGGCAATCCTGCCTCTCAATATTGTTAACTTTTTCCTAGTTAAAAGAAAACATACAATAAGAAAACTGCAGAGCTCTAAGTGCACAGCTTGGTGGATTGGCACACACAACATACATGTGTAACCTACACTCAGATCAAGAAACAAACCTTCTCACCCCCAGAGCCCCTGGACCCCCGACAGTCACACCTCCAACCCCAGGCAGCCGCTCTCCTGCCTTCTAACAGCATAGATTCATTTCACTGGATTTTTAACTTTCTCTAAATGTAGGGTGACCAACCATCCCAGTTTGTCCGGGACTATGGGGTTTTCTGGGACATGGGCCCTTCAGTGCTAAAACTGGGACTGTCCCCCATAAACTGGACAGGTTGGTCGCCCTATATAAGTGAAATCATGCACTGTGTGGCTTTAGTGTGTGGTTTTTGTGACCCATCCTGTTTATGAAATTTACGTCATTATGTGCAGGTGGTGTGAATCGCTGCCTTGTTGTACGTGTATCCATTGTGCGGATACACCGCATTTGTCCATTCTATCGTTGATGGCCATTTGAGTTGCCTCCAGTTTGGGGCCAGTATGGAATGTGCTGCTATGGGCATCCTGATTCAGGTCTTTGGGTGGACAAATGGATACCTGTCACTCAATTTTAAGACTATGGTGACATTTGGGGCTTTTGCTGGAGTTGAGAAATACTACTGCATGCTGGGGTGCCCTGTGACCCCCATAGGTCCAGAATCTCACATCTTCTCCGTCACTGACAGGGTGGCTCCTATGGACGGAAAACAGTCTTACGGGGCAACTCCGATGGTACCCTCGTCGTCTTCGTCAGTCACTTTGAAAAATTCCAGGATCAGAAGAGAAGCCAACAGGAAATCCTCAACAAAATCTGCAGGTGCCTGGAAGCTTATCAGTCCACAGACCTGGTAGCCAAGATAGAGATCCAGAGGCCCAACGGTGGGCTCATCATCAAGGTGTTCACAAGATGGCAAAGCGTCAGTTTTGCGGTGCTGCCTGCCTTCAATGCTCTGGGTGAGCCCTCCTGGGTGTATGGGGGCAGGCACAGATCTGGAGGAGTTTGTTGAGAGTGCAAAGCCAAAGAAAGGGGTGGTGGGCAGCTACGCAGGTCCTCTAGGCTGGGGATACCACTGGTGCTTTCCAAAGTAGGGGACCATAGACCTTCGAGCCAGGAGGTCTCTCCTACCTGGGCTTACTCTCTTCTCTAGAACTTTTCCCCCATCTCCTAATTGACCTTGGAGAAAACGTTCTAGACTCTAGAATCTAGAGGAAATCTCAGACTGTGACATGCCCACAAATCACCAGGAAACCTTGTTAAAATGCAACTTCTGATTCAGAACATTGGGGGCAGGACCTGGGATTCTGTGTCTCTAAACAGTGCCGTGATGCTGCTGCTGGTCTGTGGGCCACACTTGGGGATTTAGACTAGAATAAATGTTGGTTAGAGGAAGAGGATGGGGCACACATCTGGGAAAAGTTCAGCTGGGGCAGGCATTTGGAGTCTGCCTTCTCACCAGGTGAACATCAAAGCAAGGCCCTAGTTTTGAACTAGGAATTTGGATTAGCATAGACCAAGAGCCTTTAAAGTCCACGAGCAACTGATTGGATGGATGGATGGATGAATGGATGATGGATGGATGGATGATTGGATGGATGGATGATGGATGGATGGATGAACAGATGGATCACTAGATGGATGGTTGATTGGATGGATGGATGAATGGATGGATGGATGATGGATGGATGATGGATGGATGGATGATTCGATGGATGGATGGATGGATGGATGATGGATGGATGGGTGGAAGGATGATTGGATGGATGGATGGATGGGTGGATGATGGATGGATGGATGAATGGATGATGGATGGATGGATGATTGGATGGATGGATGATGGATGGATAGTTGGATGGATGGATGGATGAATGGATGATGGATGGATGGATGACTGGATGGATGGATGGATGGATGGATGATGGATGGATGGGTGGATGATAGATGGATGATGGATGGATGATGGATAGATGGATGATGGATGGATGGATGGATGATGGATGATGGATGGATGACGGATGGATGGATGGATGGATGGACGGATGGATAGATGGATGGATGGACAGATAATGGATGGATGGATGGATGGATGGATGATGGATGGATGGATGGATGATTGGATGGATGGATGGATGGATGGATGATGGATGGATGATTGGATGGATGGATGGATGGATGGATGATGGATGGATGGATGGATGATGGATGGATGGATGGATGGATGGATGGATGGATGATTGGATGGATGGGTGGATGATGAATGGATGGATGGATGGATCCAGACAGATCACTGGATGGATGGTTGATTGTATGGGTGGATGGATAAGACTTGGGATAGTCACAGCTTAGTCTCAAGCACAGGTACATATACAATCGCAAACTTAAATGCTAGGGATGAAATTCCATCCCTCATTAAACAAATGGGGAAACTGAAGGAAAGGACTATTCCCAGGGCCACATAGCCAGTTACTGACAGAGTTAGAATAAAAGCAGAGGTCTTCTAAGCCCCAGGCCAGGGGTGCCTTTAAGATGGTGACACAGACACACCTTAATGACTCACATTCACAGAAAAGTGACCCAGGTCAGAGAAGAATGCACCAGTTTGGAAACTAGGCAGCCCTGAGTCCTTCCCTTGGTCCCACTAGTCACCCACTTTTGCCAACTGTAAGATCAAGCTAGAAGCAGCTGGATTGCAGGACCTTTAAGAGGAGAAGGGTTGAGTGTACATGCCTGCCTCAAACAACAGCGGGAGTCAGGTGAAGAGACAAAGTGTGACTCAAAATTCGTAGGAAATCCTATGTTCTCTCATCTTGTTCAGAGCATGGCATTTGGAGACCAGGCCAGAGCACCCTCTGCTGGGCTCACCCTCATGCAAGGATGGTGTGACAGGAGAAATAAGCTCTTCCTCACACGGAGTATCCAGAAGCTGCCACCAGGTGGTCGTAGTCTGGCCCGCTCTCCACACCAGCTCCAGGCAGGCTTCCTCCAACTCTACCTCTCTCTCCACTGCTGTGTGCCACCACTGCTCTCTCCCCGGGTCTTTGACCCAAAGTGGGATTTCTATTTACCTGACTGCCTGGTGTGCCAGTTTCCTCACCTGTAAATGAGCAGTTCATTGCAATAACCACCTAAGAGTGTGTGTGGCTTCTGTATTTCACTGTATCTGAAGCGCTCGCACTGTGCCTGATGTGGAGGAAGCGCTCAACGAACGTTAGCTACCTTACTGCCAGTATTGAGAAGGATGCCATGCTCTTTCCTTCAACCTCCCTGCATGCCCAGTGCCCAGAACTGAGACTGGCTGATGATAGGAAGTCAGTAAACAAAAAGAACAAGCTGGCTACCATCTCCTGTTGTTTATCTAAGGGTGTTTGTAAACATGGAGCTCGGCTAGCAAGAATGGAAACCCTTTGATGAACTCCTGTGGCCTATTGACATCTCTCCCATTGCATTGGCTTCCTCACCCCACACCAGTGGTTCTCAAACTTCAGTGGGTATCAGAATCACTGAGGAACCTAGTGAAAATACGGAGGCCCGAGCTCTCTCCGCTTGGGGATCAGCTCTCCCGCAGAGCGGATCTGGAACTCAGAGGCCCAGGCTCATCGGCACGGGAGGCTCCTGGGCCTCTGTTCCAGGGTCCCGATAGGAACCCCAGTTTGGGAAGCACTGTCGTGCATCACCCCATTTCCCAGGGTCCAGCTCTGCAGGGACTGCGCCTGCCCACTGGCCTCCATCGCCAGCCTCCAGGGCCCTGCCTCCACCTGGCCTGCCCCCTCAGAGAGCCTGAACCCTTGTCTCTGAAACACAGCCTTCACAGGATGGGCTCAATGGCAGAATACACTGTATGTGAGACATGAACTTTATTTTCCTCCGGGTGTGTACCAACTTGGGTAACACCATTTTTTTTTCTGATCCATAGTTATTTTAATTATTAAGGCTCCATTAAATTTTATTTATGTATTTATTTTTTCGGATGTACATCATCTTTCAAATTCTGTGTACATTACATCATGTTCACCACCCAAACGCTAATTATAGTCCATCCCTTCACATGTGAGCTTAATCACCCCTTTTGCCCTCCCCCCTCCCCCCTTCCCCCTTCCCCAATGGTAACCACCAGTCCAATCTCCAAAGCTATGTGGGTTTTTTTTTTTTGTCGTTTTTATCTTCTACTTGTGATTGAGATCATATGGTATTTGACTTTCTCCCTCTGACTTATTTCACTCAGCATAATACCCTCAAGTTCCATCCATGTTGTCACAAATGGCCGGATTTCGTCATTTCTTATGGCTGAGTAGTAGTCCATTGTGTATAAATACCACATCTTCTTTATCCATTCGTCCCTTGATGGGCACCTAGGTTGCTTCCATGTCTTGGCTATTGTGAATAATGCTGCAGTGAACATAGGGGTGCAGGTATATTTATGCCTTTGTGTTTTCAAGTTCTTTGGATAAATACCCAGCAGTGGAATAGCTGGATCATATGGTAGATCTATCCTTAATTTTCTGAGGATACTCCATACTGCTTTCCATAGTGGCTGCACCAGTTTGCATTGCCACCAGCAGTGAACAAATGTTCCCTTCTCTCCACACTCTCTCCAATATTTGTTATTTCCTGTCTTGTTAATTACAGCCATTCTGACCGGAGTGAGGTGATACCTCATTGCAGTTTCGATTTGCATTTCCCTGATAGCTAATGATGTTGAGCATCTTTTCATATGTCTCTTGGCCATCTGTATATCTTCTTTAGAGAAATCTCTGTTCAGATCTTTTGCCCATTTTTTAATTGGGTTGTTGGGTTTTTTTTGTTGTTGAGCTGCATGAGCTCTTTGTATATTTTGGATATTAACCCCTTATCTGATATACGGTTTGCAAATATCTTCTCCCAATTGTTAGGTTGTCTTTTCGTTTTGTTGATGGTTTCCTTTGCTGTGCAGAAGATTTTTAGTTTGACGTAGTCCCATTTGTTCATTTTTTCTTTTGTTTCTCTTGCCCGGTCAGACATGGGACTTGAAAATATGCTGCTAAGACCAATGTCGTAGAGCGTACTGCCTATGTTTTCTTCTAGAAGTCTCATGGTTTAGGTCTTACATTCAAATCTTTAATCCACTTTGAGTTGATTTTTGTGCATGGTGTAAGGGAATGGTCTACTTTCATTCTTTTGCATGTGGCTGTCCAGTTTTCCCAACACCATTTATTGAAGAGACTCTCCTTTCTCCATCGTATGCTCTTGGCTCCCTTGTCGAATATCGGCTGTCCATAAACGTGTGGGTTTACCTCTGGGCTCTCAATTTTGTTCCATTCATCTGTGTGTCTGTTTTTGTGCCAGTACCATGCTGTTTTGGTTACTATGGCTCTGTAGTCTATTTTGAAATCAGGGAGTGTGATACCTCCAGCTTTGTTCTTTTTTCTCAGGATTCCTTGGCTATTCGGGGTCTTCTGTTGTTCCATCTAAATTTTAGGATTCTTTGTTCTATTTCCACGAAAACTGTTGTTGGAACTTTGGTAGGGATTGCATTGACTCTGTGGATTGCTTTAGGAAGTGTGGACATTTTAACTGTGTTCATTCTTCCAATCCAAGAGCATGGAATATCTTTCCATTTCTTTGTGTCTTCTTCGATTTCTTTCAACAATATTTTATAGTTTTCGGTGTAAAGATCTTTCACCTCTTTGGTTAAGTTTATTCCTAGGTATTTTATTCTTTTTGTTGCAATTGTAAATGGGATTGTATTCTTAATTTCTCTTTCTGCTACTTCATTGTTAGTGTATAGAAAAGCCACCAATTTTTGTACATTGATTTTGTATCCTGCAACTTGACTGTATTCCTTTATTATTTCTAAAAGTTTTTTAGTGGACTCTTTAGGGTTTTCTAGATATAAAATCATGTCGTCTGCAAAGAGTGACGGTTTCACTTCTTCTTTTCCAATGTGGATCCCTTTTATTTCTTTTTCTTGCCTGATTGCTCTGGCTAGGGCTTCCAATACTATGTTAAATAAGAGTGGTGACAGTGGGCATCCTTGTCTGGTTCCTGTTCTTAGGGTGACAGCTTTCAGTTTTTCTCTGTTGAGAATGATATTTGCTGTGGGTTTGTCATCTATGGCCTTTATTATATTGAGGTGTTTTCCTTCTATACCCATTTTATTTAGAGTTTTTATCATAAATGGATGCTATATCTTGTCAAATGCTTACTCTGCATCTATTGAGATGATCATGTGATTTTTATTCTTCATTTTGTTAATGTGGTGTATCACGTTGATAGATTTGCCGATGTTGAACCATCCCTGCATCCCCGGAATGAAACCCACTTGATCATGATGTATGATCTTTTTAACGTATTGTTGTATTCGATTTGCTAGTATTTTGTTGAGGATTTTTGCATCGATGTTCATCAGTGATGTTAGCCTGTAATTTTCTTTTTTTGTGTTGTCCTTGTCTGGTTTTGGAATCAGGATAATGTTGGCTTCGTAGAAGGAGTTAGGAAGCCTCCCCTCCTCGTCAATTTTTTGGAAGAGTTTGAGAAGGAGAGGTATTGTCTTCTTTGAATGTTTGGTAGAATTCACCAGGGAAGCCATCTGGTCCTGGACTTTTATTTTTTGGGAGGTTTTTGATGGCTGTTTCAATCTCCTTACTGGTGATCAGTCTATTCAAATTTTCTACATCTTCTTGGTCGAGTTTTGGAAGGTTGTATGTTTCTAAGAATTTATCCATTTCTTCTAGATTATCCAATTTGTTGGCGTATAGCTTTTCACAGTATTCTCTTATTATCTTTTGTATTTCTGAGGTGTCCGTTGTAATCTCTCCTCTTTCATTTCTGATTGTATTTATTTGAGCCTTCTCTCTTTTTTTCTTGGTGACTCTAGGTAAGGGTTTGTCAATTTTGTTTATCTGTTCGAAGAACCAGCTCTTGGTTTCATTAATTTTTTCTATTGTTTTTTAGTCTCTATTTCATTTATTTATGCTCTGATTTTTATTATTTCCTTCCTTCTGCTGGTTTTGGGCTTTGTTTGTTGTTCTTTTTCCAGTACCTTTAGATGCGCTTTTAGATTGTCTATTTGGGATTTTTCTTCTTTGTTGAGGTAGGCCTGAATTGCTATAAACTTCCCTCATAGAACCGCTTTTGCTGTATCCCACAGATTTTGGCATGTCGTGTTTTCATTTTCATTTGTCTCCAGGAATTTTTTGATTTCTTCTTTGATTTCTTCATTGACCCAATCATTGTTCAGTAGCATTTTGTTCAATCTCCACATTTTTGTGGCTTTTCTGGTTTTCTTTCTGTAGTTGATTTCCAGTTTCATACCTTTGTGGTCAGAAAAGATGCATGGTATTATTTCGATCTTCTTAAATTTATTGAGACTTGTTTTGTGGCCTAACATGTGATCAATCCTGGAGAATGTTCCATGTGCATTTGAAAAGAATGTGTATTCTGTGGTTTTTGGATGGAATGTTCTGTATATATCTACTAAGTCCATCTGGTCTAACGTGTCCTTTAAGGCGAGTGTTTCCTAATTGATCTCCTGTTTGGATGATCTATCCATTGGTGTAAGCGGAGTGTTAAAGTCCCCTGCTATTATTGTGTTATTGTCTATTTCTCCTCTTATGTCTGTTAATAATTGCTTTATATATTTAGGGGCTCCTATGTTGGGTGCATAGATATTTACAAGTGTTATATCTTCTTGTTGGATTGTTCCCTTTATCATTGTGTAGTTCCCGTCTTTGTCTCTTATTACAGTTTTTGATTTAAAGTCTATTTTGTCTGATATAAGTATTGCTATCCCCGCTTTCTTTTCTTTGCCATTTGCATGGAATATCTTTTTCCATCCTTTCACCTTCAGTTTGTGAGTGTCTGTAGGTCTGAAGTGTGTCTCTTGTTTGCAGCATATACATGGGTCTTGTTTTTTTATCCAGTTGGCCACCCTATGGCATTTGATTGGAGCGTTTAGTCCACTGACATTTAAAGTAGCTATTGATAAATACGTATTTATTGCCATTTTGTCACTTTTTCTTTTTTTGGGGTGTTTTAGTAGTTCTTCTCAGTTCCTTGCTTTTTCTCTTGCTCTCTTCCCTTGTGGTTTGATGGCTATCTTTAGTAATATGTTTGATTTCTTTTGTCTTACTTTTTTCCTGCTTGTTATAGGTTTCTGGTCTGTGGTTACCATGAGGATGCTATTTAATATACTATGCACATAACAGTCTATATTGGGTAGATAGACTCTTTAGCTTGACCTCTTTCTAAAAGCTCTACTTTTTCACTCCCCTCCTCCCACATTATATGTTTTTCACACCATATATAGTCTTTTGTTTAGTGTGTGTCTATCCATTACCCTCTTATCATTGAAATAGGTGATTTTAGTACGTTTGTCTTTTAACCTTCATATTATCTTCACAGGTAGTTGATCTGCTGCCTTTACTATATTTTTACCTTAAAAGTGATTTTATTGCCTGTTTTTTGTTGTTGTTGTTTTGGGTTTTTTTGATAATTTTTTTAATCTCTATTTGTGGTCATTGCTTTCCCACTTAAATAAGTCCCTTCAGCATTTCTTGCAGAACTGGTTTCTTGGTGATAAACTCCTTTAAGTTTTGCTTATCTGGGAGGCTCTTTATCTCTCCTTCCACTTTGAATGACAGCCTTGATGGATAGAGTATTCTTGGCTGTAGGTTTTTTCCTTTTAGCACTTTAAATATGTTGTCCCATTCTCTTCTCACCTGTAGGGTCTCGACTGAGAAGTCCACTGATAGCCTGATGGGCTTCCCTTTATATGTCACTTGTGGCCTTTCTCTTGCTGCTTTTAGGATTCTCTCTTTGTCTTTAATTTTAGACATTTTGATTATAATATGTCTTGGTGTGGGCCTCTTTGGGCTTCTCTTGTTTGGCCCCCACCAATGTCTCAGTCTCCGGAGAGGATCCTCCTCTCACCAAGATGCCCCCAGAGCCCACCAGGTGAGTCTTGTTTCACCAAAGGACAGTCAGCCTTCTCTCTGGTGATTTTAGGTTGCTGCAATGAGTGAGTTTGCACGTGGGCCCTTTAAGACTTGGGTCTTTTTGGCTTTCAGCCGATAGCTTTTCTGGGGATGTCCTCGCTGCAGTTAATAGCCAGCAAGGCCAGACAGTAAGACCCCCGTCTCAGTTGGGCTGAGTCCGAAGGATGGTTATAGCAGTATCGCCCCCGCTCCAGACCTCACTCCTCCAGGGAGGGCTGCGTACCTTAGGATGGCTCCCGCCTGGCCAGCTGAGAAGCTCCACTGCTCCCAAAGGTGGCTTTTTTCCTCTCCGGCCGGATTTACTGCCTCTTCTGCCTTTGTCAGGACTGTCCCTTGTCGTGGAGGTTCTTTTTATCCAGTTTTCAGTTTTCAATCCAGGGTAATTCTTCCAAAAATTGTTGTAACCTGGTTGTGTTCGTGGGAGGAGGCGAGTTCAATGTCTGCTCATGGCGCCATCTTGACAAGATCCCCCAACACCATTTTTAAAGATACCATCCCGTCCTACTAATTTGGAATGCCCCCTTTTTCATTTATAATTGTGTTTCTTGTCCCTCCGTTGGGTTCTGCTGATCTGGTCTCAAGCCAGCACCATATCATTTTCATGATGGCCATTTTAGACTACATTTTATTATCTGGCAGGGCAAGCCACCCCTCACCTTTTCTGCAAGCACCCCGGTCCTCGTACAGGTTAAGCTGTTGGCGTGGGCCGTCAAACCACAACCGACCTTCATCATTGTCTCACTGAGGCCAGGTTATGCGAACACCAAAAGTCCCGTGTTTCTCTTTCCCACCAGGCTTGAGAGAGCATCCCAGCTCCTGGACCTACCGAGAACTCAAAAGATCATTGGATATGACAAAAGCCAGCCCCGGCGAGTTCTCAGTCTGCTTCACAGAGCTCCAGCAGAAGTTTTTCAACAACCGTCCCAGAAAACTGAAGGATTTGATCCTCTTGGTAAAGCATTGGTATGAGAAGGTAATTTTCAAACTGCACATCTGTGGCTGACACCCATTCCTTTTTATGGAGATATTTACATCCAGCAAAGTACAACAATCTTAAGGATACAGTTCAAAGCATTTTTATATCTTCTTAAACAACACCCAGGTCAAAAGAAGGCACAATTCCTGCACCCCAGCAGGCTGCCTCTGCCCCCACCCACCCCACCCCCAGCCAACGCTTCCCCCAAACGAACCACTGTGCCAACATCTGCTGCCACCAATTAATTCTGCTTGTTTTTAAACTGGATATCGACGGAATCCTGCCGAACGTACTTTGTGTCTGCCACCTTCTGTTCAACAGATGTGTGAGAGGTTCGTCCATGTGGTTGCAGTTTTTCCTTGTTTTCTAGTATTCCGTTGTATTTATATCCCACACATTTATCCACTCTACAGCTGATGGGTATTTGGGTCATCTGCAAATGGGGGCTATAATGAATTGGTTACTATGCATATTCCCCTATATGTCTTTTTGTGAATTTAAGCCCTCATTTCTCATGGGTAAATATGCAGAAGGGGAATTGCAGGGTTATAAGGTATACGAATTAGTAGGTATACCTGTATCCATAGACACATGGCATACATATGTATGTATATGTGTGTACATAATGAATATATATATATTTTTAACTTGAGTAAATACTGCCAAACAGTGTTCCCAAATGTCTGTACCCAATTACACTCCCATTAGTGATGCAAGGCCGTTCCAGGTGCTCCCCATCCTTGTCAACACTTGATATCGTCAGTCTATCGAATTTTAGGCGTGGTGTCATTTTAGTCGCTGGTGGAGGCCAGCAACTTTTTATAGATTCTGGTTTCCCAATTTCAGACCCCTGGCGTGGGAGGAACGGGGTCCCCAAATTAGCCACGGCCCTTTTCTTCTCCCACAGTATGTGAAAAAGGAGGGGGAATCGTCCCTGCTTCCCCTGTACGCTTTGGAGCTGCTTACCGTCTACGCCTGGGAACAGGGGTGCGGAGAAGAAGACTTCGATACAGCTCAAGGCATCAGGACTGTTCTGGAGCTGATCAGGCAGCAGGAGAAGCTGTGCATCTATTGGACGGTCAACTACAACTTTGAGGATGACACTGTCCGGAACATGCTGCTGAGCCAGCTCCGATCGTCCAGGTACAAACCCTCCCACGGCCCCCTCCCTTTACCTCTTAGTCTGCATGCCGGGCTGGACCCGCTTAGAATGAGGACCCCGCCCCATCCTCCCCTGCCACAGATGCTCCCACAGTATGCCAGCAGCAGTGGGGAAGGAGGCCAAGAGAGGCCTGTCTGAAAGAGGGAAGCCTGACCAATGCTACTCACATGCCAAACTGTTGTCACATTTTGTCCCCAAAACCAACACGAGGAAGGTGCTTCCCCTGGAGAAGGAAGGGAGAGGCTAAGAGAGAAGAAGTTTGGCAGGAAGGGGAGACCACTTTATTATGTTGTTAATGGAACATCTCCGTAAAGCAGAGAGCCAGCAGGACCACATGGGGTGGGCATCTTAGACAAAGCACCCCAGCAATGGAGAGGAACCAGAGGAGTTAGAATCCAGGTGACCAGATGTCCAGTCTAGGCCTCTTTCCCCGAAACGGATTTCTTCTTCCACAAGCCGCCCAACTGATTTTTATTTTTAATCTAATGAAATCCATAGGCCAGTAATATTGGATCCAACTGACCCAACCAATAACGTGAGCAGAGATAAGATGTGCTGGCAAGTGCTGAAAGTAGCGGCTGAAAGCTGGTTGTCGTCTCCCGGCCTGAGAGAGTCACATGGGCCAACCTGGAATGTTCTGGTGAGAGGGCTTTCCAGTTACAGCCTGTGTCCTGCTGCAGGGAGGGCACCCTGAACACCGACTGCAGTCCTACCCAACCCACCGTGTGTTTCCTAGGGCCGCTGTGACAAACTACCATGTGCCGGGGGCTTAAAGCAACAGAAATTTGTTCTCTCGCAGTTCTGGGGGCTGGAAGGCCAAGATCAAGGTGTTAGCAGGGATGCGCTCCCCCTGAAGGCTCTAGCGGGGGGTCCTTCCACGCCTTTTCCAGCTTCCCGTGGTTGCCAGCAATCCTTGGCTTGCGGCAGCATCGCTCCAGCCTCTGCCTCCATCGTCACAGGGCCTTCCCCCTGTGTGTCTTCAGAAGGGCTTCCCTCTGTGCCTGTCCGTCTCTCTCTTCTTCTTAGAAGGACCCCCTTCTCTTGGATTAGGGCCCACCCTAATGACCTCATCTTGATTACATCTTGCAAAGACCCTATTTCCAAATAAGGTCACCTTCACAGATCCTGGAGGTGGAGACTTCAACATATTTTTTGAGGGGACGCAATTCAATCCGTAACACACCATTTGGGGCCTCCCCGTCTATGAAAATGATAGTGAAGTGCATGCAAGATGGAACCAAGAGAAAAGGGGACATCTGAAGACAAGAGATTTCAATTAATTTCTGTAAGACAGAAAGCCGATGAGAAGGTGGTGACATGAAACGGAGCCCCAGGGAAGTGGGTGGCAGTCCTGCCTGCTGATGCCGGGACAGGCTCTGAGCTCCGTCCAGGCAGGCGTAGGGCAAGGGGGAGAAGTGGGGCTGGAAACAGGGGAACTGCTCAAGGGGCAAACAGGTGCACCTGCCCTCCCTGCCCCATCCCCCAAGTCAACACGGAACCCGCTGTGCCCTCAGGGCTCATCCGAGGAGGGCAGTCCAGCCAGCACATTCTCAGGTCTGACCACCGAATCCTTCAGCTTTCCTGGGGGTCTCCGAGTGGAGGTGTGGGGACCAATGTATCATGTGAGGCCAGATGGGTCAACCAAATTCCACATTTCACAGACGCAGGACTAATTTATGTCCCGATTATGGGGGGCAGAGCTCAAGATTCTATTTGCACAGAAATTTGCAGGCCAATTAAGCAAAAATCTGGGATGCAAACGTAGGCGTCAATGAGCTTACCCAATTCATGGGGCCCTGGAAGTGAAGGAACCTGTGCACGGAGAGAAGCCCTAGTTGGATCCAGAAGGAATGTGATGCTCTGAGCCGGTATCCTGTGCCCCACCCCCCGCCCCTCCTCTTGCTGGCCTCCTGGTGTTGGCTCCCTGACCCCAATTTTGCTGGCTTCCTAAGATAGCTTTTTTTAAAAAACTATTGCCCCCTAACATTTTATTCTGAAAAGCTTTCAAATGTATAGAAAAGTTTGCAAGAATGATTCATTGAGCTCCTGTGTGCCCTTCCTCGGGCTCCCCGAATGTTGAACACGTTACCACGGTTGCTATGATACAGCCTCCGTGTGTGTGTGTGTGTACACACTTATCATCACCATCACTATCAGTGTTGTTCATACCGAGCCATTTGAGAGTCAGCTGCCAGATACCTCTCCTCTGTACCCTTACGTGTTTTCATAGGCATCTCAGAGAACAAGGACATTCTCTTAGGTAACCACGTGTAATGATCAAATTCCGGAGATTCAGATTAATATACTATTATTGTCCAAATATAATCCATTTTCAGATTTTGCCAATCATTCTGAGAAAGTACTTTATAACCACTTTTTTCCAACCCAGAAGCACACACTGCATTTAGTTCTCACGCCTCTCCTAAGTAGCGTTTGATACCTGCTTTTGTCCTTCTGTCTTGCCACCCCATCAACCTCTATTTCCAGGCCTATGAGACCATCCCTCTTACTACAGCTGTTGGAGGCAGTCCAGGCCCAGGAACCACTACATAAGGTGGTTCAGGCCCTGGAGGGTGCGTGCACACAGGCATGCACACACACATGAACACACACATGTGCACCCATGCTCACACACACCACAGTATTCTTCCCAGCGGAGGGGGCAGTACTGCCAATGAATTTGCCTTCAAGGGGACACTGTCCTCAGCAACTGCAAGGTCCACTTACAACATCTGAGGGCAGCCAAGGTCGACCTTCAACTTTCAAGCTGCCCATCCCTCCCCTTCCCCCAGGTGAGCCCACCCATCTTGTTTGTGCTCGTGAGCAAAAGGACAGCATCAAGGCAGAGCAGTATATTCGTTTCCTCCTACTGCTGTAAGAAAAAAAAAAAAAAAAAACTAGAGACTTCACAGCATAAAATAACACGAATTAATAAAACAAGGCTCCAGGGGAGAATCCACTTCCTGTCTTCTCCAGCTTCTTGAGGCCGCCCGCAGTCCTTGGCTCATGGCCCCTTCCTCCATCCTCAAAGCCAGCGGTATTGTCTTCTCTCCTTCTGACCTCTGCTTCTCTCTCTAGAACGCTGACGTCCTACCTCTCTTTTAAGGAGTCTTTAATGACATGGGGCCCACCTGGATCATCCAGGATACTCCCCTCATCTCAAGATCCTTAATTTAATCGCATCTGCAAAGTCCCATTTTCCATATAAGGCAACCGATTCACAGGTTCTGGGGGTTCGGACGTGGCCATTTGGGGCGGGCAGCCGCTATTCTGCCCCCCACAAGCAGGAAGCAGACTGCCTTTGCAGCCTGAGACCCGCAGGGGAGACTGGCCATTAACAGGTAGCACAGGGAGCAGACACAGTCTCAAGCGGGGTGTCACGACCTCGGGGGGCACGGGACGACCCCACCATCTGAACTTTTCTACTGGAGAGGAGACAGCTGCGCTTCTGTGCAGGTATCAGACCCCACTAAGAAATCTGAATAGGGTGTCTTTCCAGAATTGACCACAGGTGCACGAGAGTGAAGAGGTCCCCGCCTCCATGGTCCCCTTTGATTAGAGAGCAGAGAACCGTCCCTTCAGGCTGAACACACAGCCCCTCTGGACCCAGCGCAGCCTCTCTGCTGGACGCTTAGAGGGGACAGCATGCCCCGGGGTAGGCCTGGGGAGTGGGTTGAATAGTGTCCCCCAAAATTCATGTCCACTTGGTTCCAAGAATGTCACCTTCTCTGGAAATAGGATCTTTCTGGTGTAATTAGTTAAGATGAGGTCATCCTGGTTTAGCATGGGCCCCAAATCCAATGGCCTGTGTCCTTACAAGGAGAGACACTGTGACACCGAGAGCAGATGGCCACATGACGACAGAGGCAGCGGTTGGAGCGCTGCAGCTCCTTTGCTGGAGCCACCAGAAGCTGGAAGAGGCAGGAAGGACCCTCCCCTGGAGCTTTCAAAGAGAACACGGCCCTGCTGATACCTGGATGTCAAACTTCTAGTCTTCGGAATCGTGAGAGGACAAATTTCTGCTGTTTGAAGCCCCCAGTTGTAATTTGTTATGGCGGCCCTGGGAACCAATCCACCTGGGCCCATGGTGTTGAATGGAGGCTGATAGAACCTGGAAAAGGGATTCATGTGATCCTCAGAAATCTACAATGCTACAGTAAACGGGAAAATAAGGAAGGAACAGATGAGTAAAAGGTGCTGGCCGTTAGTAGACGATGCCAAAACCAGAAGTGGAAATCAGAGAGCAGTTTGGAGCCAGGAGTATTACAAACCCGTGGGGAGAAAAATCTAGGTCTCTCCCAGGATGTCAGAAGGGGCAACTAGCAGAGGCTTTGTTTCTGGCGGGCTATGGGTGTCACCCTACACTCTCAGGTCTGTTCTCGGGATAAGTCAGTGCAAGAACCGAAGATGACAGGGGTACCAGCATGAGGGTTGGAGCGCGGGAGGGAGAGGCGGGCAGAGGGCCCAGAACGGGCAGGGGCCACTCACAGTGAGGCTCTTCCATCTTCCCCAGCCAGCGCCACTCTACGTGACCCCAGGCCATCTTCTAGATACATTCATCATGGACTTTCTCCAGCCCAACAAAGTTTTCCTAGATCAAGTCAAGAAAGCTGTCAACATCATCTGTATATTCCTTAAAGAAAAATGCTTTCAACATTCACCTACAAAAGTTCAGAAGGTTGTCAAGGTGAGTAGAGGCGCTTCTCTTAAGGGAATGCTGGGCGGGAACTAAGCGGGATTGTCCCTCTACAATACGCATCTATCAGAAGCTGGAGGGCAAAAGGATGAGGGAGCGCAGCTGGGGAGATGGGCAGCTAGGAGACTGATGTTCAGTGGTGGGTGATAATGCATGGCTCGTGTCACTGACCACACACTTCTGACTCTTGTGATAGCTTCCCAGGGCTGCTGGCCATCCTTGGTGTCCTTGGCCTGTGGCTACATCACTCCAGCCTCTGCCTCCGTCTCCACATCACCTTCTCTGTTATCTTCTCTCTTTCTCTTCTCTTCTAAGGACGCCTGTGATTGGAGGGCCCACAGATCCCTAACTTAATTACACCTACAGAGACCCTCTTTCCAAATAATGTCACACTCTCACACTTCCAATAGACATAACTTTTGGGGGGACCACCTTTCAAACCACTGCAGATTTTGAGCTCAGTGTGAACTGATCCAAAAAGTGACCTCTTTCCTCTTTCCATGACTAGAGCCCGATTCACCCCAACAACCTAGCTAGAGATTCAGCAGATTGGACCATTCTTGTCCATGGCTCGAAGGCCATGGGCTGACACGCTTCCCTCCATCTGTTGAAGAATGAAACGCTCTGCTCTGGACCCAGCCCTAACTGGACCCTAACTTGGAACCTACCCTGGGCAACATCATGAATTAGCCCAACTGGTACCAGCCCACAGGGCTGAGCGGCTCACGGTCTAGAAAATGCCATATCTCAACTTGCCTTTCTCTACTAGGGAGGGTCGACCGCCAAAGGCACAGCTCTGAAGAGCGGCTCTGATGCCGACATCATCGTCTTCCTTAGCTCGCTTAACAACTACACCTCCCAGAAAACGGAAAGATGGAGAATCATCAAGGAAATCCGTAAACAGCTGGAAGCCTGTCAGCGGGAGAAGGAGTTTGAAGTGAAGTTTGAGATTTCAGAGCGGAAGGCTCCCAGAGTGCTGAGCTTCTCTCTGAAATCCAGAGAGCTCAACGAAAGTATTGACTTTGATGTGCTGCCTGCCTTTAATGCGTTAGGTAAGATCCCCAGACCTCAGCCGCTGGAGGAGGAACGCGGATTCTGGAGGGATGGCAGAAGGGGATGGAGGGAAAGCAATGGGACTCAGTCATGGGGCCAGTGCCCCCAGCAGGTGGCATTCATACCTTACACCTGTATACACTTTCATTCTCATTTAAGAATCCCAAGGATGGCCAAGATCCACATCTTCTACTCCCATGATATCATCCACAGTATCTATCAAAGAATGGGGTATCCAGGAGTTCTGTGCACATTTCTAGATAAATTTCCTCAAGTATTAGTGGAAGAAAGTAAACAACAGCCTGGGGGAGGAATTCTGAGGCAAAAACAGGAAATCTGGGTGTTCGCCTCCAATCTTAGGCAAAAATCTCCTTTAGAAATTCAATTCACGGGTGGCAAACACGTAATGGTGTATTAAAAGAAACCACAGCAATTTCAGGCATTTCCCAAATCCGAATCAAGAAGCTACGGCACCTTCCCTCTGAATAGTTCTTAGTGTCTCTCAGAGAGGAAATAACAGTATCGATTGGGGGCTGGCTAACTTTTTTTGTAAAAGGCAAGATAGCAAATATTTTCAGCTTGGAGGGCAATTAGGTCCCTGTCACAACTACTCAACTCTGCCATTGTAGCCTGAATGCAGCCATCAATATCACCTTTACAAATGGGCGTGGTTGTGTGCCAATAAAACTTTATTTACAAAAACAAGCAGTGGGCCAGATTTAGCCTGGGGGCCATAGTTTGCAAACTCCAGATCAGCATTGTCCAAAGGGCCTTTCTGTGATAGTGGAAATTTCCCATAATCTGTGTTCTACATCCACTGAAAACTTGAAATGTGGCTAGTGCTAATGAGGAACTAACCTTTTTTATTTTCCTTTAATTAGTTTGAATGCAAATAGCCACACTGGCTGGTGGCTACCATATTGGATAATACTTTTATGGTACCACCTGTACTCCTGTAGATCACAGAACTGTTTAAATATCTCATTACTCTGGAGATGCTCCCAATATCTTAGACATCAGGAATTCAAATATACTAATAGAGTTGAAAGAAATTTCCCAGAATTAAATTCTATTTGTCAAGAATGTTTTGAAACCTATTACTTTCTGTACATATTAAGGCATAATGTAACTATCTCCCCCATGCCAGGTCAACTGAATTCTGGCTCTGCACCCAGCCCCAGGGTCTACGCTGAGCTCATCCAGCTGTATAAATCCTCGGACGCCCTCGGGGGAGAGTTCTCCACCTGTTTCACAGAGCTGCAGCGCAATTTTGTTGACTCCCGGCCCACGAAAGTGAAGAGTTTAATCCGCCTGGTGAAGCACTGGTACAAACAGGTATGCCAGCTCTCGTTCCAGCCCTCTGGTTATGGTTTTCATCAGGACTCTGTGGCCATGAAACCAGCGCCTCTCGAGCGCTCCATGCGCCCACAGCCTCCTGCGCTGGGGGCAGTGTGAAAGGAAACTCAAGAAAAAGGGGTCCCTGCCCCCCAAGTAGGGACTCTGCCTGCCTTAATCCTGGGTATCTGTGCGGAATTCCCATCCCGAACCCCACTAAGATGGGTCAAGCGTAGAGCACCTCCCACCATCAGAGCTGCTACACGTGGCTTATTTTACCTTTGCTCTGACCAAAGAATTCCGCAGGAATCCAAGTTATCCCGCCTACGCAGGCCAGGTGAAGTTGGGATCTGCATATGCCTACAAGTCGCCAGCATGGCTTATCCGCCGCTCGGTGCCCGTCACCATTAGACACTGATTAGACACTCTCTTGGAAGGCAAGTCGGAGCACCAGGCGTGCCCGGAGGCTGCATTTTCTGTGCTGGTTAGCCTCCTTTCGCTTCCATCAACTGTCTGGCGCACAGGGTGGTCTGAGGATCTTCATGGCAGCAAACATCCAGCTCAACATCAGCTCTTCCTTGCGATGTGTCCTTTCTGTGTCCAGCTCCCTGAAGCCTGAGATGGAGACTGAGCTCTGTGGCTTCCATCCCAGAAAATCTGAGAAATGGCTCTACAGCCCGCCCCAGGGCACTCAGAGTGTTCAGGGCTACGGTGTGACCTTGAGCAAGTCACTTCACCTCCCCAAGCCTCAGGCCTTCATCTAAAGTGGCAATCTCTGCCATTTGGTAGCCAGCAGTGTTGGAGGATTAGTAAGGACATAGGGAAACTGGCCCCATAATTAGGACTCACGGGGGTTTTAGAAAATGGTACCTAGGTCATCACTCTGGGAAGTCATATATGGCCAAAGCACACTAAAAAACCTGCGTGTGCTGGCCACAAGCTGCTGAGTGAGCCCCTGCAAACCCGCCCCGCTCAGACCCCCACAGACCAGTCCCCCATCACCGCATCTTGTGACTCAGTTGCCCAGCCATGGCCCCAGCGGTCCTTAACATGCAGTCTCTGTGGTTCTGGCTGAGCCCATCGCACCTCCCTGCCTTACCCAGCTTCATCTGACTTTCCCACTCTTCCCTCAGTGTGAAAGGAAACTCAAGAAAAAGGGGTCCCTGCCCCCCAAGTACGCCTTGGAGCTCCTCACCATCTATGCCTGGGAGCGTGGGAGCGGGGCGACGCAGTTCGACACGGCAGAAGGTTTCCTGACGGTGCTGGATTTGGTCACAAAATATCAGCAGCTCTGCGTCTTCTGGACCATCAATTACAGCTTCGAGGATGAGACCATAAGGAACTTCCTCCTGACCCAGATGCAGAGAACCAGGTGCCCCAGACCCTACCCCCTCCTCCTCATAACCTGATTTCCTGCAGCACCGTGTCAGCGACCTGGATTCTCCACCCACGGGGTCAGGATTCATCATTCCTCATGTGACCCCGAGGGAGGACTGCGCTAACCACAGAACCACCCAGTCTCCAGGGGTGGAGTCCTAGGGAAGCAGGAGAAAACATGCTCTGGGAGGAATAGAGAGGGGAGAACCAAGGTGCTGGGTCCCTGAGTTGCTTTTATGTTTCTAGGTCGGAAGGAAAAGCGTGGACTCATTAGCAGGTCTAAGTGGTGTGGAAGTTGGGAGGTGTCCCTGAGAAATGACGCTATCGTTCCCCATCGATTTAGTCTGCAGGGTTTCTGTTAGACCAGGTTTCATCTGCCCTTTCAGATCCACATCCCACAAAACCTTTATCCTTCAAGAATAGAAAGAAGGGGCCAGCCCGTGGCTGAGTGGTTAAGTTCGCGGGCTCGCCTCAGTGGCCCAGAGTTTCGCTGGTTCGGATCCTGAGCACAGACGTGGCACCGCACCTCAGGCCGTGCTGAGGCAGCATCCCACATACCACAACCAGAGGGACCTACAATTAGAATATGCAACTAGGTACTGGGGGGCTTTGGGGAGAAGAAGAAAAGAAAGAAAAAGATGGCAACAGATGTTAGCTCAAGAGCCAATCTTAAAAAAAAAAAAAGAAGAATAGAAAGGAATCTTAGGGTATCTGCTCCATGCCACCAGCAAGGGACAAAAACAATGGAAGTATGGAAAAGACAGGAGCGTTGAGAAAGAACAGAGAAGAAGAAAGAGAGGACGAGATCCGGTGGGTTACCCACCAGGGGTGTGCCCTACTTGACATTACAGTTGATTGAATTATACATCATGCTTCAGTTGACAAAGCATGGAGAAGATCTTTATATTATGCCATGTGTATAATCATTAACAGTTTTCAAAGCTTTTTTTTTTTCTGCTGAGAGATATTGGCCATGAGCTAACATCTATGCCAATCTTTCCTCCACTCTATATGTGCGTCGCCACCACAGCATGGCTTGATGAGTAGTGTAGGTCCACACCCGGGATCTGAATCCGTGAACCCCAGCTGCCCAAATAGAGTGCGTGAAACTCAACCACTATGCCACCCAGCTGGCCCCTTTCAAAACTCTTTTGACAAATATGATTTAATTCTAGGAAATTACTTAGACCTGCAATCGTACATTTGAATTGCTGACATCTAAGATATGAGGGCATGTTGTTTTATTGCTGAGAGTAGAAAGGACCCCCAATTCTGAGGCCACTATTCTGAAAAGCACCCTCTAATGCTTCCTAATCCCTTGCATAGGCCCGTGATCTTGGACCCAGCCGAACCCACTGGTGATGTGGGCGGAGGCGACCGTTGGTGTTGGCATCTTCTAGCAAAAGAAGCTACGGAATGGATGTCCTCCCTCTGCTTCCAAGACGGCAGTGCACACCCCGTACAAAAGTGGGAAGTGCCCGTAAGAATAATCTAAAAGAAATGTCATCCGGAGTGTGCCCTGCGACAGACTTAAACCAAAGAGCTTCTCCTGCTGTAGTTTCCACTTGGAATTCATTCAGCCACAAATAACAGAAAACCCGACTCAGGAGCGTACACTTACACAATTGGTTTTTTCTGCCCATTACGAGAAATCCTAAGGCAGGCAAACCAGGACTCACCCAGCAGCTCCATCGAGCTTTCTCCATCCGCCACTGCACTATTGGCATTTGGGGCCAGACACTTCTTTGTAATGGGGGCTGTCCTGGGCAGCCTCCCTGGCATCTAGCATCCCCACTAGATGCCAGCAGCACCCCTCACCCAGTATGACAATCAAAACAGCAGGTCTAGACACTACAAAGTGTCCCTTGGGGACACACTCATCCCCAGCTCTTTCTGGCTGCACCCTCTTTAGGTATTGATTTTAGTCCTTATGGCACCGAAAGTGGCTACTGCTGCTCCAGGCGGGGTTCGGGGTCCAGGCAAGAAGAACAGGGAGGAGGGAGGCACCTATGAGAAGCCTCATCCAGCAAATTCTCTTACATTTCATTGCCCAGAACACTCACATGGCTACCCGCAACATAAAAGTGGCTCCAAAAAGGGGGGTGAAGACAACTGTGGATGAGGGTTGGTGAGCCAACCGAGTGCCTGCCACACCTGTGCACGGCTCCACCTCCCACCAAGAGACCTGCCCCCAGGTCTGCTTGTTCTCCGCCAGGTTCTTTCTCGAGGCTCTTTCAAAGCAGAGTTCTCAGCCTCAGCAACTATTGACATTTGGGGCCAGATAATCCTTTGTTGTGGGGGGCTGTTGAGCAGCATCTCAAGTCTCTACTCACTAGATGCCCCCTCCCAGTTGTGACAATTAAAACTGCCTCAAGACTGCCTCATGTCCTATGGGGAGCAAAATTGCCCCCAAATGAGAACTGCTTTAGAGGAACACCCCACCCCCACTCTGGGGTCAGCTTTAGTTACCAGGATCTACACTGTCAGCAAGCACCCAAAAATTGTCCCCCTGGTAATAGTGACCCTCTCAGATACAGTTCTTCCTTTTTTTTCTGACTCTTTTAACCAATGGTTGTAACTGCTTGGGATATGTATTCTCGCACATATATTTCTTTCTTTCTAGACAGTGCAGACGCCAGGAAGTTGTGGAGCGGGGGTGCATCCTATTGTCAATGAGATGTTCTCACTCCGAAGTCATAGAATCCTGGCATACCAATGCTAGAAGAAGCTTCTAGAGGTCATCTGGCAACTGCTTTTAAAGAATCCGTTCACTATATAAAAGACTAACCAGATCCATTCTTCCATTGACGGTCCCCACGGCTCCCTCCCTTGTTTCTTCAACCCCTCTTGAAATCAAGACCGCCAAGTTCTTTTTGTAAAGTCTCGCCTTGCTGAGCTCTCACTCCGTGAGTGTACCTTAATTAAAAAGAGTTGCTTTCATCCAGCTTTCTGTGCACCATATTTCTGTCCACCATTCTGGATTATTCCAATTAGCTCCTTCTTTTTCCTTCAAGTCTTAGAAGCGGAATCTCTCTGCATTCCCAAAGTGAAGCCCTCTGCCTGCCCCTTGGCTCCCATAGTTCTACGATCTTACTCTCATACTCCTCCACCTCGCCCACCTCCTGTCTCTTTCCCTCCGTACACAGAATCCTGTCTGCCCCTGCCCGGTCGAAGGTCTCCTACGCCAGGAGTGAGCCAGCCTCTGCATAGACCTGCAAACTCTCTAAACGCTTGGGATTTTCACTGTTGCCATATATATATATTTATTAGCCTGTTGTCTTTTCCTTCTGAGCCCACCTTTTTCCCCCATCCATGAGTATCTTCTTGACAAATCTAACGGCCTTCTCCTCTGGCTTTAGCTTCAAAGATGCTTAAAGGTCTATGCATTTTAACTTCAGATACCCACTTCACATTTTATTACTGCCATATAAACCAACTGTCATAAAATTAAGAATATATCTGTCCTTTGTCCCCAGTTCTTGGCACATAGCTTCAAAAACTCTTGGGATTTCCTGATAGGAGTGTCCTTTGTATTCATACTGAGCCCCTTCCAACCATCCCTGAGTTTACCTAGTGAGGTGTGGGCCCTGAGATAGTTTCAGGGGAGGGGTTGGCCATGCCAGAAATGCCAAGCATGTGCTTACACGGTTGGCACTTTTGGCCCCACTCCCCAACCTCCCAAGAGGAGAGGGGGGCTGGAGACTGAGTTCAAGTGCATGGCCCATGATTTCATCAGTCGTGCCTTCGTAATGAAACCCCAATAAAAACTCGGGACAACAAGGCTTGGGAGCTTCCTGGTTGGCAAGTGTGCCGATGTACCACAAAGATGGCACATCCTGACTCTGTGGGGATAGAAGCTCCTGGGCTCAGGACCCTTCCAGACCTTGCCCCCTATGTATCTCCTCCTCTGGCTGTTTATCTGTATCTTTTGTAATAAAATGGTGATTGTAAGCATAGCACTTTCCTGGGTTCTAAGAGTCATTCTAGTGAATTGTTGAACTTGAATCCATAGCCAAGTCAGAAGTACGGGTAGTCTGGGGACTCCCCTGTGACCGGCATCTGAAGTGGGGGCAGTCTTGATGGGACCTTGCCCTTTAACTCATGAGGCCTGCACCAACTCCAGGCAGCGTCAGAACGGAATTGAATCGTAGGGCGCCCAGTTGGTGTCGGTGAGCTGGTGTTGGAATGTATCACTGCCCTTGTCCAGAGCAACAACAAAGGAAACAGCTAGGACCTGAGGTTGAAGAATGAAAGAATGACCAGGCTAAGGTCATGTCTACTCCATCTACAACTAGTCGCCAGACCCTTCTGGAGGCCCAGCTTGCCCTTGATACATAGACAGGAAACTGTAAGACACTGCCTCATCCTCACAGGGCTCATGATGTACCTAAAGGAACCCTAACTCTCTTAAAGGAAAAGGAAGGGCAATTTACAGCCATGCGCTAAGTGATAGGTATATAGTGGACTAAGACCAGCAAGAGAGAACTCAAGGCACTCAAAGACAGAAAGGAACCATTTCAGTCTCTTTCGTTGATGTCTTCTCAGTATTCAGTAGACATTTAAGTTCATTAACAGCAAAGATAAGGGAGCGTTCACAGTGATCAGGAAATGTGGTCATGGGTCATCATTGGAGGTAACGAGGCCACAAACATTTTTTCAGAAAATTGGCACAGCAAGGAATAGGTAATAATTAAACTCAGGCTCTCTTGTACAAGTGTATTTCAGGATTAATGAACAGCCCCTAACTGAGAAGGAAAAAAAAAATTTTACAGAAGAATTCTACTTAATAAATGTTGAAAGGATGACAAAATAGAAACATCACCATTTTGCAACCTCTGATGAAGTAATGATTTAGGCAGTGATTAGCAACAGATGAAACCATTAGAGGAGACACTGACGGGGCACCCTTTAATAGAAGGGGGACAGACTGCCACCTCCAAGATCCACGATTTAATCACAGCCTCAGTAGGAGAGGGACAGACAGACACAGCGTGTCTGCCAGTGTGGGGCAATCTGGAGCACACGGCACCATCCTTTAAGTATTTTTGCAAAAAAAAAAAATTGGCTATAAGTAACAAAAGGAATTGAGTTAGCAAATTCCAGAGAAAATGTATAGACCAGACAGACTTCATAGGAAGAGAACAAGAGTCAGGAGAAACAAGGACAGAAGTGTGGAAGGGCGGGCATTCTTACGACCGCAAAAGGGAAACAAGCCAAGAACATAGGAAGGCTCCAACTCAGTGGGGTTAAAGGTCAAGATCTAAGGCCCATTGTCGACTCCCGGTTACCCTGGCAACAAGGTCCCCACTTCCATCGAAGGAATCATGCAACGATTAGAAGCAGGGCAACACCTGGCGAGTGACCGATGGCCCAGGAGGAGTTTGGGAAGGATTTGAGCAGCAGACCATGAATGAAGCCGGCAAGGAGGAGAATTGGTGGGTGAAAGGATGATCTGGAACCTGCGTGCTGGAGGGCCTCAGCTGCTCTGCCCTGAGGCCTCTCTAGCTGAGTTTGGTCAAATCTGAGCAGGGAAAACGTGGTCACTCGTTGGTTCTATTTCTTGGCCTCCGTGCCTGGGGTGAACCTCAGACAAGGAAAAGGTGAAGAAAGTTCTCCCTGTGTGAGCCAGCCTGGGCCCCCTGGAGCGGGCCAGAGACCTGTGTAAGCCAGCCTGGGTCCCCTGGAGCAGGCCGGAGACCTGTGTGAGCCAGCCTGGGTCCCCTGGAGCAGGCCGGAGACCTGTGTGAGCCAGCCTGGGTCTCCTGGAGTGGGCCGGAGACCTGTGTGAGCCAGCCTGGGTCCCCTGGAGTGGGCTGCAGACCCAGAGAGAGGAAGTGGGCACAGGGAGCAGGATGTGAGGATCCTAGTAACCGAACCCAACTGAGAGGGTTCCCTCTGAGCACAAATGGTGCGTGGCATGCTCATCTTGGTTGGCGTTCCTCAGAGAGGTGCCACTTCCAAGCCACTCTCCCTTCACTGTGGGGCCAGGCTGGGAATCACAAAAGAGAACTTCTCACGTTCCAAGGGCCACGGCTCCAGTTGATGGAGCAGAAGCTATCGCTGGGAGAAGTGACAAGGCTCTGTTGCTGGGGGAGAGGAGTCAGGATAAGGGATCCTACCCAAGATTTGGCCATGGTGTGGCCAGAATAACAGGAGAATGAGATAGCCAGCAGGTGACCACCTCGAGCTCGGACAGAAGAGAGAAAGTGCCACTAAACCCACAGGAGGCCTGGGAAGCAGGAAGGGGTGTGGCGGGCAGAGGGAGAGCCCCCAAAGATGTCCACACCCTACTCCTCGGGACCCGCACGTATGGGAGCTGATATGGCCAAAGGGACTTTGTAGGTGGGACTAAGTTAAGGATCTTGAGATGTGCCGGACGGCTCATCCCCTGGGTGACTCAGCTGGGCCCAGGAGCCCTTAGAAGCAGAGAGCATTTCCAAACTCAAGTTAGTCGACTCGGCAAGGAAAAGGCAGGAGGGGCCCTGAGCTGCTGCTGCTGCTGGCTTGAAGACGCAGGGGGCCACAAGTCCGGGGGTGTGGATGGCCTCTGGGGGCTGAGAATGACCCCCCAGTGAGAGCCAGCGAGGAAGCCCTCGGAACTGAGCTCTGCCAACACCCCGAGTGAGCCTGCCAGCCCTTCTCCCTGGAGCCTCCAGGTGGGAAGGCGGCCCGGCCACCGCGTTGGTTTCAGCCTCGTGGGACCCACAGCAAGAAGCCAGCCCGGCCTCCTGGGCTTCTGACCGACGGCCCTGGGAGACAACAAACTTGCAGGGCGTTGAGCCGTGGGGTTTGCGGTAATTCGTTTTGGCAGCGTCTGTCTCACAGGGGCAGGGGTCGCTCAGGAGCTCGGGAACCGGACCCACTCCCCACGCCAGGACCACAGTGGCCCCAGGCTGGCCCAGCCTGCGTCCAGGGAAGGCAAGTCACACGTGGAAGGGAAAAGTCTGCTTTTCTCCTCTGCCCTCAATGTGTCTGACACCAGATGGCGGAGGTGGTTCCCACACTGACGGATTCCTACAAGTGAGTGCAATTCTGACGCTGTCCACCTGGCGTCAGTGTCAGACCCCACAAGTGAGGGCTCAGTCCCGCCAGATGCCAGCCTGAGTCCAGTGCTTCTAACCAACCGGTTATAAATCGGGGGGCTCCCACGACCCCCTCCTCCAGCTCAATCATTTGCTAGAGGGGCTCACAGAACTCAGGAAAACAGTTTAATTACTAGATTACTGGTTCCTTGTAAAAGGCCGTAACTCGGGAACAGCCGGTGGGCGCTCTGTTGCAGGTTTGCAGGGAGCTGCCAGTTCACTGCGTCTTCAAGTGAAGGAGAGAATGAGAGAGTTCTCTGCGGTCCCTAATTTCCCCGTGCTTCCTCCATTCCCACAGTTACAGGAAAACACTGGTTTTCTAACAATTTCCTGTATAATCGTATTTCAGGCAGGTCAACCCACCTGCACAGGGTAGCTTCGTGCCCCACGGCCAGTCCCCTAGGGCCGCTGAGTGTGCGGCTGCGGGGCCCCATCCGCACGGAGCTGTGTCTTCCTGCTCGTGCCCCGTCCTTTCTCATTCCTTCTCCTCGCGTCTCCCTCCTTCTCTTTCTTGCACTTGATCTTCTCTTCTGCTCGGCTCTTTGCAGCCCGCTCTTGCTGCCATCTTGTGGTATTCAAGAGAGTTCAATTAGCCTGAGCAGAAAGCGGGAAAGTCCTAGAAGACGGTGAGGTGCGCTTAAAGCCACCGTGACGTGATTCGGGGAGGGAGGTTCATTTCGAGTCACGATCCACGCAGCAAGGCATCTTTAAGCAATCCGTTATTTCCACACACTGTTCACTAACTACCCACTAGGAGAAGAGAAGGAAAGACCCAATGGCTCTGAAACAACTTTTTTCCTTTTAATTTGGCTTCGCAGATGCCTGGGGACACTGGACACACTCTACAGAATTAACCCACTG